GTCATTACCTAAACCACAATTAATCACAGCCCATCAAGATACATCCATTGCATATGAACGACCATGGGATACATTACAAACATCTCTTATCAGTAGTCTTTCATCTCCTTCATCGGCTACACCGAATCGTAATGGAGGGTCACTACAAAAGATGCCTAGTACCGAGGAATCAAAACAAATTGGCACACCACCATTTCCTATGGTTTCACCCAATATCAGTACTTGTCGACATAGCACATGCTCGCCAGACGAGAAGAATACTTTTAACAATCTCAACGTAGGAGGTAAGCAAACAGTTGATAAAAGAATTGTATTGAATTTCTACTCTACAACACCATTGTTTCCTTTGTTTAGATATAAATAAAACAAACAATCGTAACCTTATTCCATTAATATCAGATATTGATACAGCAATTCCAATCGATCGTTATTTGTAAGTATTTATCGGAAATTTGATGAAACACATTCAAAACTTATTCTCTATTGACTTAGTTGGTACCATTATGCAATGTCCCGACGAACAGCTGAAGGTATTTTACAATCACGTCCACCGGGTAGTTTCCTTGTTCGTCAAAGTGAAAGTGGAAATCAAAACGATTACTCACTTTCTATCCGGTAAGTTTCAATTCGACCATTCTCATCGAGTATAAACTTTCCTTTCCTTCTCGTGTCTAGAACTGCAAAAAGTTGTATGCACATGCGTATATGTTACTCGGCAGGTGTTTATATACTTGGCGAGTGTTCACGACCATTTCCAAGTGTATCACGTATGATTGAATATTTTAGTCAAACATGTGTGCCTATACGTGGTGCAGCACCAATCAAACTAGGTACGCCTGTATTTCGCTGTGAAACACTTTCATCATTACCTAACGACCATAATTTCATTGAGGACGGCGAAGAACTTTTGTAATTTATTTTTCATCTCTTCTGACCATTTGATTTTGTATATTTATATCTGTATACATAGATAGCAAAGTATCTCTTATTCTCTGATATATGACAGCAAGAAATATCTTCAAATATTCTCTTTCTCTTCTTCAATACAAGCAGATAGTTTGTTTCTTTGTTCCTGTTTCTGTTATACACAAGATTTCTGGTGATTTTTTGTCTTTTTTTTGTCTTTGACTTTCGTGCATTAGCCAATGACTAAATCAGGAATAAATAATATTCTTATTTGATTCAATAAACACTCACCTCTTTTTTATTTAATATAATTTATTTGAAAAAGAAAACAAATCTCTTCTTTCCTCTCACAAAAAGCGCTACATCGATAACTAACGACACACTTTGTCTACTAACCTCTTTCGGTTGCTTTGACAATAACAATTATTTTTACATTGATCATGGTAACCACACTGTTTTCTCTCTCGTTATACTTGTTTCATTCGACGATTCCAACAAAGCCATGTCGCGTAACTATAGTGCCTCACAATATGAAAAATCCTTCACACCTAAGCGTTTACAAATGTACCAAGTTCCAAAGGATCCTCAACCTGGTCTGGTTAGTAACTTGACTCGCATTTCGCGTAAGCTTGACTTCTTTTTTCAAATTTCAGCATGCCAAAGGTTCGTCATCAGTGAATGGCAATAGTATCGTGGCTGATGATCGTGGTCATCTTCTTCCTGGTGTAGAAAGATCGAAACGATCACCGTTTGGTGAATTTATTGGTACATGGGATTTACCAAAACGAATTCCAGGACCTTACCACGTTCATCCAATGGGACGAACGGAGAAAAACTTCGATACACTCTGTTTGCAACGTGATAATACAATCCGAGAAATGGAACAAGCACGAGTATATCAAGTATGTCATGCCAATTCCTCTTTGTTTATCTATTTATTCTCATTTTTAGAAAGAAGGCTCGTCGGCTAAACAATCCTGTTGTAACTAAAGACAAGGAGAACTTGATCATATGATAAACTTTTTATTTTTCACTCTCTTCTTTCTTATTCTAATTGCCTTGACTCGTGTGAACTTTTGTACGATCCATATGCTCATTAAATTCACTTGTTTTTTGTAATGGACTACGTGGTCCAGCAAAAATCATTTGGACCATATCGTCTGCTCGGATATGTTTATGTGCCGCAATGGTTTGAAGCAATAAGAGAAAACCATCGAAATCGATATCACGTGTGCCTTGTGGATAAACACCATTCAATGTCAAATCACCTAAGATTGAAATAAAGTCTTTATCAAGTTCATTAATTGTATAATTATCATCGAATATTCGACATTCACGCATCCAATTGCTCAGGACCGAGTTTGTTAAACGCGCTTCTAAATGTGAACTCTGACGGCGGTAGGCGAATGTCGCAAATTCTTTGTAAAGCGAACGTAGACGTTTACGTTCATCATCAGTTAAGTGTAATTTTCGACTTTCTTCCACAACATCACGCATAAGGTGAACGGCAGCTAGAACTTTCTTTGTATCCCATGGACGATTGAGTTTCTTGGTTGATCCAACTTCCGGAACTTGTTCGAATTCACTACGCCACCTTTGAAATGACGATGCATCGGCAACGAGCAGTCTTTTAGCGAAGTCATTCAATGAAATATGAATTTCTTTCGCTAAGATATCAATGCAATCGAGAAAACCATTCCAATTGAAAGTATCTGTGTTTATTTTGTATACACCATTGTTAATATTGCGAGCTAACACATTTGACAAGACGCTCTCTACAAGATATGTGAGGTGCATGGAACTATAGAGAAGTGTTTTCATGCATACCAATGAGATTTCTTGAATAGACATCGGGAATAACATGTGAAACGCGGAGCCATTGAATAAAAACATTTTGTCGGATTAGACCATGTTCAAATTGTTCGGATGATAATTGAAATAGATCAGATAATTTGTTCAGAAGATCTTTCTAAACTCAAGCGAGATGTTTTCGGTAGTGTTAGCAAATTTTCATACATCAAGTTCATCACGTTGAATGTACGTTTCAAACATATGTATAGTTTTAAGTTTGGCTACATCTTTTGATAAAACCTTATCGGTTGTGGTTAACACTGCGTCCATTTGTTGTTTGCCATCAGATTGTTCAAGTCCCCCATCTTTTCGTGGCACTTTTTTTGTCGACTTTTTCGCCTTCGTTTTACTTTTCCGTTTTCGACTCTTCTTCTTCTTCTTCTTCTTCTTTTTCTTTTTCTTTCGCTTGTTCCCTAACACACGTCGATCATTCATTCCCATTTGTATCTACATACAAAATACATAATTACTTTCACCCGATTGATCTGACTTTATCGACTACTAATACACAAATAAAGTAGTGTTACTCGACATGTCTCAAGGTTGTCTACAATGTACATTTCCTATCACGCATGCATCATTAATCCCACAGAATCGACAATTGTTTAGTCCTTACATCATATGTATCGCGTCATTTGTTTTGTGAACTCATTCGAATTACATATCACGAGACACATGTGATCGACATGATAAATCGTCCGAAATAATGTCAAAACTCTCTCAACACTCGTTTGGAGTCGTTGAGTTGTACGTAACCTTATTTTCTTACATCATTGTATTGCTTAATCAGTGTTGACATCGATGGTAATAAACCTAATTGAATTTTATCTTGGACTTGTTTTAATTTGAGTACATCGTTGTAAATCTGTGAACTGATGATCTTTCTATAAATCTCGTCTTTACTTAAACGCAAGCGAAATTTGATAATGTCGAGAAATTGAATGAAACCACAAAAGTCGAAATCTTTATTCTTTCGTTCGTAGATCTTCTTCTTGATCAGCTGTTTACGTAAATGATTCCAATCGGTGTTGAACATCGATGTTGCATATTCACTCTCGAATATATCGGATTGTTCCAATAATTTTAACATTCGTTCGCGTGATATTCGCTTGCTTTCGTTGACTTTGTCCGCGTATTCATTGAAAATTCTCAATAAACAACCGATAACATCATCTCGTTCAAGGAATACTTCATTGAAGCTGATTAACGGCTTTTCAATTTGTATTTCGTCGACTAGTTCGTGCATAATCTCTCGAGTCATTTCATAATCATTTTCATCTAAGACGTTGAAGTCCGAGACAATCGAACCAGGTCTCGGTGTTCGAACTGAACCAATACTACTCGTTGTGGCGCTCCCACGGGAGATAGAATGTTTTAAAAGAATGTTCGTTAAACGACGACCTGTGCTGGTTGAACTGAGTCGACCACGAGATGATGTTCGAGCTTTTGTTGGTATCATTTTCGTTTTGAGATATTTGATAAGAAATGAAAAATAGGAAATTTTCGTTGCACTTTGTTGTTTAGTAACATTTTTATTCGTGATTGTGCTTATGATATTTAGTTAAATGAGATTTGAATGGAGTTTCATGATGCAGTTTTTGTAAATCAGCATTGAGTTTTTGGAATGCAGAGGAAACAGAACGATGGCGAATTTGTTGACGAGTGAGATGATCTGTTGGTTGAAAAGATTTTCCTCCAGATGATCTTTTTGAATCTTTCCGAAGCGTTGAAATAGGTGTGTCAGCTTTTTCAAGAGTTTTGTCAATATGTAACTGCATAAAATCGTTTTCTAGTTGTTGATTGGTCTGTACAATAGTATCGATGTTGTTAGCTGGAAGTGAATGATTAAGAGCATGTTGCAATTCATAAAGCTCTGAAAAATTGTTATCGAAATGCCAATGTTCGCTGAGTATTGCTTCAACAAGGAATTTTGCACAAGATTTCATACAGAGAAGTTGATCTTGTTTTGACAAACGTTGTTTGCGTTCAATTCGTTGTCGTAGCTGTTCGGTAATCGGTTGTAGTGTGTCCTGGATTTGATCCAACATTTGATTAAACTTTGTTCGAACAAAAAGTTTTTCGACTGTTTCTTTTGTACTTTCAATGAAGTCCTTCTCGAGACTATCGTCACTATGAGAATGACACAACCGATGATGAGATACGAAAGAAGATGAACGTGCACGATTATGATTGTAGTTGTGTTTGGAGAGAACATGTTTTGAACGATGAGCAGAACGGGAAATATCGATAACACTATTGCTGGGCACGTGTCGAGGTTTGGAATAGAAATACATTTGTTTAGCGAATACATTACGTTTTAAGTTGTATTTCGATTCATGTAAGTGAGCTCTACGTTAAGAATTAAAGAAAAAAAAATTCAAATAATGTCAGCGCTTTTTACTTCATTGTTTTTTAACGGCTTTTTACTTCATTGTTTTTTAACGATCTCTCTGACACAGAAATTGACCGTTATAATCAAAGAGTTCAAGAATATTACTAGAAAACGTTGATTTATGCTTCGGCTTGTCAGACTGTCAATGAGAACAATAATGTATATATGGATCTTTACTAGATGTCACTACTCTCTTATCCACGAGGATAGAAAATCTCGATTAATTTCATGAATCTGCGTGATATACAATAAGATATATCCCATTGATATCCGTTATTACAATAAACTCATCCATTTAAATACGCTTGAAAAAGCACGAAGACATTCTTCATCAACATGATTTTCATTGGTTTGGACTAAGAAATCCGCTTGGATCACAACCAATGAGACAAGGAATAAGTTCGTTCTCTTAACTGCTTATATTATGTCATGTGAACTTGCTCTGATTTGTTTTGTACTGTGCGTGAAGAAAACAAACTACCTCGATGATATTTTAGATAAAATACTCAATTAAACAATGACATCGTTAACTCCTAAACCATCTCAGGTTGAATCTTGGGAGCGTTTACCATCCGATTGGCATAATGACGAACGTATGGACGCGTTATTTGCTTTTTTCAAAGATCGCGATTTGAATCCTGTTCATTACGATGCCAAAATGAAATTTTGGAGTGAAACAATCAATGCATTTTGTGAAGATCACGGACTTTTACAAATTGATATGCCAACGATTGTTTCACGTTTTCGTCGAAAAGGAAAAACACCGAAATGTTTGGATAAAGTGTTCGATGAATTAGTCAAACAAAATCGTTTGGTATCGACAAATGACTACACAAATTCGCAACAATCATCGTGGGTGTCGTGGTCATTTAATAAACTAGCAAGTCCAATTACAAGCTGGATGTCTCCGAAAACGCCAGTCGATCAGGAAGTTTTCATCATTAAAGAACTTGTCGATGTAAGTTTGAACTTTGTCGCTGTGTTTTGAAAATGAAATATATGATTTAGAAAAAAGCTTTGCAAGTTGTCGAAGCTCTGCAATCTCAAGTTTATGTTCCAACATTTGACTGCGTTGTGTCGTTTACATCTTTCATAAACACTTGCCGTCGATGTGCATTAATCGATGAAAATTCGATTAATTTAGTTATATCGGCATTGACACGAGACAAGAAGATTCTGATCGATTATATTGGCGATGCTAAAGATGTGAAAGTAAGGAACTTCGCCATTGTTTGTTCTATTCGAATGATATTATTGTTTAGGTTGTGAAGTTCGTGGCACCTGGAGCATCTGTAGTTCGTCCATTGACTGAGATCGAAAACAGTGTACTTTTGTAAGAAAAAATTTTGTTTTTCTATCGAAGTGTTTTTGACGAAATTCTATTGTTAGATTACGTCATTCGAAAGAACGTTTAGAAGAACAACTGAAGAAATCGGATGAACAAATCGAAGGGTAAACTCGATGGTGTGCTGGTAGATAGTTACTGGAAGTTTTCTTTATATTTAAGATTACTTGCAGACATTCGTCGTCACTTGAAGAATAGTAATCGTACAGCAGCAATGAAATTATTACGTAAGAAGAAATTACTTGAACGTGAACACGAGAAAAAAGAAGGAACAATTGAACATCTTAACTGCGTTTTGACACAAATTGAACAAACAGATTGTTCTTCATTGGTAAACACAAAATTCTAACGTTTCCCTCTCAAAGCAATCGATTGTATTTCTATTAAGGTTATCAACGCTTACTCATCAGGCGTTCAGGCACATAAAGAACTTCTGCGTAAAAATGGTCTTACGCCTGATGCTGTTGACGACATGATTGACGAAGTACAAGAGGTAAAGCAATACGCTCTCCGTTGATTTATATGCATTGCTCGCATGCTCACTTATACGACAATGCCTGGTCTGATTTCATCAATAAAATCCGTTTTTGTTTGATTATTACAGATGCTGGAAAATCAAAAAGAATTGGATGAGGCACTCAGTCGACCCGTTGGTAATGAAACAACCGACATGACAGAATTAGAAGGTGAACTGGAAGAATTACTAAAACAACCTGTACTACCAACACCTGTACCTGCTGCTCCAATTCCAGCACAAAAAGAAACTGTTAATGAAGAATACATCAAACCACCGGAACAAGATCCATTCGCTGACCTCGAATTACGTTTACAGAAACTAGGTGTACAAGAATGTACGTTATCCCATTCATTGAATTTCTTATCTGTGATTCTGTGTTTTAGCAACACCTAATAAGGTTCCCGAAATAGCATCATCGAGTCAATAAACCTTTGTATGTAAAATTTTTATCTTTGTATTTGAACTTTCGGTGCTTTCTCTCACTCTATTATATTAAAAAGAAAAACGAACCGATCTTCTATTTGTAAAAATGTACATTTCGTATTTCGCATATCTTTTTTTTTATCGTATTCAGCTATTTGTGTATTTATTGTAATATGATCTTCGATGAAGAATGTATCATTAACGTGTGAAATACTTGTTAACAATGGCATTTATTCCACCTCGTGCCCATGCACATGATAATGTTAGTCTTCATTGGAGAAAGTAGTCATATCAAAATAGGAGCTCCAAACCTTTAGAAGAGTACATGACCTTCGCCACTGATATAAAACGATAAAGAAAAAACTAATTGTTGTAGTACAACTAATCTTCTTCTTTTTTCCATCCTTCTTTGTGTGTCTTGTTTATTGTTTTTTTTCTCAATCATATATATATGATTCATATAGCAGTCCTCTTTTTATACTTCTTAAACATTTTGCAAGCTGAACACGTTTGGTTTGTCAAATTTCCGTCTAAAGATGATCATTTATCTCATATTGAAAAATCATTTCCTTTGATCGATCTTTTACAACATGATTATAATGACTCGTCCTACGTATTTCTTCTGCCAAGCACTTATCAAACGAAACTTAGACGTTTGATTCATCAGGCGAATGGATCTTATCGAATTTTATCGAATAACGCAAGAAATACGTGGAAAGTTTCTCCAGATCGACCAAAACGCTCAGTTTTATCTGATAATCCGTTAGATGAAAGTTATTACCAACGTTTTCCTACCTACGATGAACATCAAGAATGGCAACAACTTCTTCAAAGTTCTCCGCAAACTCAAAAACTCATTCGATTACATACGATCGGTCAAACCTATGAAAACCGTTCGCTTACAGTCGTTCAAATTCACACTAATTACCCTCGTCGAATCCAGGGACGACGCAAACGTAAACAAGCGATATATATCGATGGAGGTATGCACGCTCGAGAATGGCTGTCGGTCGGTGTTGCTAATTATATTCTCATTCAATTTCTTCTTCTACGTGAAAGTGATCCCAAAGTTCATGAAATTCTACGACATTTCGATATCTTTGTGTTACCCATGATGAATCCCGATGGTTATGAATATTCTCGAACACATAATCGTCTTTGGAGGAAGAATCGCTCCCCGACAAGTCATTCCGAATTTTGGAATGGAGATCAGAATTGTTACGGAGTGGATTTGAATCGGAATTTTCCCTATCAGTGGAATAGTACCTATGGTGCATCCAGTCATCCGTGTTCACATTCATACCGTGGAATAAGTCCAGCCTCAGAAAGTGAAGTTGAAAGTGTGGTGAATTTCCTGCGACGACAAAGAATTTCCCATCCAAAATTTTATGCATATTTCAATCTACATTCTTATGGGAGATTCTGGCTATTGCCATGGACTTACACGATGTTAGAACGCGTCACGAATTACGATGAGTTGTTCGAACGGAGTACTCGCGTAGCAAATGAGGTCATGAATCAAACATATCGCGTAGGCCAAGCATCGTTTTTACTGTACCCATGTAGTGGTACTAGTATCGACTTCGCTTCGACATTCATGTCGCATGCAATGACATTTGAATTATCACCGATCTTCCAGGGTTTACCAATGTGTGTCGAACAGAATAAAACTGTTAATCATGGTTGTACGGTTGGCTTCTTAATCGGTCCGGAGAGTATTCAGATCGATGGAAACGAAATTTTTAAAGCTATTATCGAATATCTATATGCACTTGTACAAGATCATTTTGTTTAGTATAAATAAAAAACAAATACATATGTTCTTATGATTATGTGTTTTCGTTTTCAGATAGGAAAAACCACGCATTTAGAAGATGCGTCTTGAAACTTGTTACTATTGTTCATCAACAATATGGCCGGGTCATGGCATTCAGTTTGTACGAAATGATTGTAAAGTAAATGAGCTATTTTGAGTGGGTTGCTCGAGATGACAAAGAATGTTTGTAGATCTTTCGATTTTGTCGATCACGTTGCCATCGTGCATTTAAGAAGAAATGGAATCCACGAAAATCTCGCTGGACAAAAGCACATCGAAAATTCACTGGCAAAGATTTGACTACCGATTCGACGTTCGAATTCGAAAAACGTCGAAATGAACCAGTGAAGTATGATCGTGAATTATGGCAAAATACCAGTAAGACATGGACATTTCTTGTATGTATTAGTATTGAACTTGATTCTCTCGTGATTTTTAGTCAAAGCCATGGAGAGAGTCGGAGAAATTCGAACGAAACGTGAACGACATCATATTATGAAACGGTAAACGAGCTTTTTTATCGATTTGAATGAATAGTTGACAAATATTGATGATTTAGTCTCCGACAAGGTACACTTGACCGAAAAGCAGCCGATTTACGTGAAGTACGAGATTATATTCATCTTGTTCGCGCACCAAATGCCACTAAACCGATGGAAGAGATCGAAATGGTTCAAAAAGCCATGGAGAAACGTGAACAAGCTGGTGAACTCTTGACCAAAATTGGTACAACTGTGTCGACAACAAAGAAACTCAGTGCTCTACGCCGTCGTGCACCGAAAATCGAAGTTACGATGGAAACATCAGATACCGAACAAGCAATGGAATAACAATTGATTATTTTCATTTGTTTTGTTTTATTTCTTTTCTTGTGATTGTTTATATCAAACCAAAAGACAATAAATCTCTGTGTATCGATGTTTAGTAACAAACAATGTCATCTGTTTTCTTGATTTTGTTTGTGTACACTTCAATTTTCATTCCTCTATTGAAGATGATCGATGCCTGTTGGTCGTTCTAAACTTGTCCAAGACGTTCTTCGTCTATATGCTGAATATATGCGTTTAAGTCAACAAGTTCACGGTCTAAGAGATATTGCACGTCTTGAATTTAAACAAAACAAAGATTTGAAAGTCAAAGATAATCTGGTCTATATCGAATATCTTATCCGACGAGGAAAATCACAATTGAACACACTGAAAGGACAAGGTGTAACGTCTATTAGTTTATCAACAAAACAAGCAAAATAATGCCGGAATTTTCATCGGAACTATTGGCTAATTTCCCTACGAATGGAAATAGCGAACAACCACATATAACGTTCGCGTTTGGTTATGGTTCCGGTGTATTGAAACAACAACAAGATTTAGAAAAGGCCAAAACTCAAAATCAAGTTGATCTCATCTTAACTGTCAACAATTCCTTTAAATTTCACGAAGAAAACTTAAAACTAAATCCTTCCCACTACTCGTTCCTCCGATATTTTGGTGTGTCAACCATCACGCGCATCCAAGAAACCAAAGGTGCAAGAATCTATTTCAATCCTTACGTCAAATTGAACACTGATCCAGACACTCTATACAAATATGGAATCATTTCCCGAAAACATCTCATTCGAGATTTGTTGGATTGGGAAACTCTATACGTTGCCGGTCGTTTACAAGTAATGAAAGTTTGACTTTTTCGAATTGAGTATGACATGTACTTCTTTAGAAACCTGTCCGCGTTATTCAAATCGATGAAAACGATCAAGATCTAATCTATGCACTGCGAACAAACCTCAGCAGTGCATTACACGTGGCTCTCCTTCTCCTTCCGGAAGAATTTACAATGAAAGATTTATTTTTGAAGATCACTTCACTTTCCTATCATGGCGATTTTCGAATGGTTATTGGTGAGAATAAGAACAAAATTTTAAATATTGTCGTGCCTCAAATCGATCTCTTCATTGACCAATACTCACATTTAATTAGCAACGATGCACATCTACATTGGAACAAGACGCGAACACTGAACACAGTAATTAAACAAGATGTGACACCAACGGCAATCTTCAAACGTTTACTTGCTTTACCGAAGTATGTTATTTATAACATAATGGAATCGTCGACATTCAAAACACGACAATATCAAGATACGGAAGAAGTCATTCGAAAATTGTGTGTAAGCACACAACGAACGGAGAAAATTGAGCATGCTGTACGATCGATTGTGAAAAGATCGAGCATAACACAAACATGTAAAGGTTTATTGACTGCAGGTTTCATTCGTAGTACGCGTTATGCTTTTGCGAAATTACAAAAGATGATTCGATAGGTTTTTTTTTTGCTATTTAGTATTCAAGCGAAATAGAAACTTGTATTTTTAGATGAAAATCGCTGTGGTCGGCCTAGGTGGAACAGGCAGTGCTGCGCTTCGTTTTCTAGCGCAAGCTGGTCATCAAGCAGTTGGTTACGAACAATTTCATATTGGTCATGAACACGGCAGTTCACATGGTGAATCACGAATTATTCGTTATACTTATCCAGATTTATTGTTTACTCAAATGATGGGTGATGCGTACAAATTATGGTTCGAACTCGAAAAAGAAGCCGATGAAGAACTGTTCGTGCAATGTGGTGGATTGTATTTTGGTGATAAGGACGATCCACAGGTAACTCTAACGGAGCAAGCACTGATCGATACTAATTTACCTTACGAACGATTAACTCCCAAACAAGTTCGAGAAAAACATCCGGCATTTCATTTGCGACCTAATGATGTTGCTCTGTATCAAAAAGACAGTGGCTTTCTACGTGCAACTCGATGTGTACAAGCAAATATTCGTCTAGCAAAGAAACACGGTGCTATCGTTCACGAAAATACAAAAGTTCAAGAAGTTACAACGAAAGAAAATCAAACATTTGTTCGAACAACTCTTGGCAACGAAGAAGAATTCGATCGTGTGATTGTTACTGCTGGTCCGTGGATGAGCACACTATTTAAACAGTTGAATTTACCGTTGAGACCCACTCGACAACAGATTGTCTATTTGAATATCGAAGATCATCCAAATTACTTTCAACCCGATGGAACATTTCCCGTCTGGATCGATTCTACCGAGAATCTCTACGGTTTTCCAAGTGACGGCCAAATAACTGGAGTTAAACTAGCGTACCACCATCCAGGAACATTAATCACTGATTTAGACGCTGAACGTGCGCCAGTCGATGAGAACTATATTGAAGAAGTGCAATCTTACGCAAGAAAACGCTTTCCGAACTTAAGTTCACAAGTAACCTACAGTCAAACCTGTGTGTATACAAACACACCCAACGAAGATTTTATCATTGATCGTGCATCGGATCAATCCAATGTATTCTTAGTTAGCGGTTGTTCGGGTCATGGATTTAAATTTACTGTGCTATTAGGAAAGATCATTTCCTCGATGGCCACTGATGATCCTAGTTATGAAAGGGATCTCACACGTTTTAAACTTAGTAGCTTTTGAGATATCTTCACTTGAATAAGACAAATGATAATTTTGATTTGATAGTAATTGTTGACGATGATTATTTTAATGAAAATTAATTCCGATGATTTTATTTTTTAGATTTTTTTAAAAATCAATGTCGACTGAATTTAGTATCAATTTTCGGTAAATTTGGTTTCTATTCTAACTCGGAATCTCTGAACTGATATTCTAGAGATTATAATCGTAATCAATTTGGTCTTCAATCCTTATTTATTTTAACATGTTTCGTGTTCACTTGGCTGATCATTTACTTAAAAACGAATGGTAATTACCTACGAAAAAACAAATTCCTTTCATTCTCGTCGGTTTCATTTCTATTCAGATGAACTTTCAAAAGCAATATTTATCCAAAATAGTCTCATATCCACATGGACTGTTGCGTATTCATTACGCATATTCTCACCATCTGTCACTTCGAAATTTCCTCTGGCTTTTCTCACATTCCGATGTACAATTACAATGCTCAATGCTTCTGCCTTGATGATGATGATTTTTTATGAAGGTAACTAGATGCACGCGCTTTGATTTTCTTGCTATTTTATCTTCGTATAGATTTTGGATTGTGTCTGCTGTTAGTCTTATCGTTACTTTTGAGTAAATCAGTATTTATCGCTGGTCCGACACTTTGTCCGAAAACATGTTCGTTTATTGAATGGTTGTTGATATCTATGGGTTGTAGTGGATTTTTCCTCTCAGTGAATCTTCATTGGTGGTCATATTTTGGTGTAAATGATCATTTTCTTGTATTTCGTAAAGTATTTCACTGATTTTTTTTTCTTTAGGATATTATTAATCGACCGGTCTTCACTGCTGATCATGTTGTTGTTTGTGAAGTGAGATTTGGCTTGCGAAATTACTTTGTATTTCAATTGTACTTTAGTGTTTACTCCTATTTGGTTTAATAGTATCGATTTTGCAAATTATTCCTTGGTCAAGAACAATTTCACCTGCAAGTCAATTCTATATTTCAGTAGTGATGACATTTCTTACCGTATTTCTCCCTCAAGCATACTTTTTCGTGCAAGAGAATCCGTTTCTATGGTTGTTTAACTATATTTTCAAGAAATCACATCGAGTGAGTGAGTACGGGATTATATTTACAGAACAATCGTGGGATGTTTTGGCAATATTTTTAGATATACTTGCTTCTGTTTTGGTTTCTTGTATCCTTATGTTCAGTGATCATCGTTAATATTCATTTAAAATTAACCAAACATACGGACATGCAACAGGAGAGAACAATTATAAGAAAATATTTTCATTTCTTAGCCATTATTGTTTATACAAGTGGAATTTTGTGCGATACACATTTACTGACAATGTGTTCAGTGGCGTTTATTGTTTTGCTCTTGTTATTAGAGGTAAATAGACGAGGTGCGGTGAGAAATTGTTTTTCTATGATGAAGTTTTAGTGTATGAAAGTGAAAAATGTTGCTCCATTGGGAAATTTGATTCGTAATGCGTGGAGTATGTACGGAAACGAAAAAGACTCGGGAGTATTGATGGTTTCACATCTGTTTCTCATCATTGGATTGTCTTACCCCATCTGGTTAGCTGATGATCGTATGTTTAGTATAATATTTGCAAAGTGACTAATCTCAACTGAGTATTTTCAGGAAGACGAATAGCACAATTCAGTGGAGTACTTAGTGTTGGTATCGGTGATTCAGCTGCATCGATTATTGGATCGAAAATCGGTACTCGCAAGTGGCCAGGATCGAAACGAACTTTAGAAGGATCATTGGCTGGTTTAGTGGCTCAGTTTTCCTTTGTTGCTTGTCTGTGGTATCTAGGTATGTAATTACGATGATTGTATATCTTACCCTTGTATTGTTTCACTGACTTTATGAGTCATTACTTCTTTCCAATTCAAACCACTACAATTAATCACTCGAAAATACGTATTGAATGAAATCGAGACGATGATTATATTGAGACAGAGGAGTCATTGTTTGATGAAAAATAGAGTGAAAAGATATTCTGACAGACGAAAAAACGTGTTGATCTACTGTTTCTCTATTACGTAGTTATTACAAAACACTAAGTTACTCTGCAAGTTACGTAGACTAGATTTATCGTTTGCTGATTATGGTAATTATCACCTGTAATGAAAATTTCTTTTTGTTTAGATATTATCCCTTATTCTCACCATAATTTGTTATTTGTTTCCTTGGGCCTACTATTTGTCACAAAAATCGAAGCGTTCGCACATGATATTGATAATTTGACACTGCCTATTTGTCTCTTCCCTTTTTTATATGTTTGTAAAACATTTTAATATGACCCTGATATCATATGATCTAATGTGGTTTTCATATCCTCGTTTTGCTCAATTAAGTCAAGTGTTACTTTTTTCATTACAACATATGATCAAAAATGTGAAAGAATAAAATCAACAAGAAAGCCAAGGTTGCACTTGCACGTGTATATATTCGTGTCCAATTATAGACATAAATACAGAAAATGACTAGTAGTAGTTCGAATAACTTCTTCATGATGAAATACATATATCAAGATAGAGAACTATGAATAACTATTTTATTAGAATGTATTTTCAATCCGTTGTAATGTTATGAAAATTAAAAAGCATCGAGAATCAAAAGCGCAGAAAAAAACACTAAATAAATAATTAGAGATATTTCGAAAAAAATAATAAAACTTAAAATTTGTATTGAATTTTAAACTGTGACCAGACTTAATTCGAATGTTGTTGTTATTGAGATAATGTATTTATAAACCTTGTTGGAAGAAACGAGCGAATTCAGCACGATCGAGGCGACCATCTTGGTTGACGTCAGCGTTGCGGAAAGCGGTACCGATAGCATCAAAGCCACCAGCAGCAGCGGCACCACCACCAAATGAGCTTGATTCATAGGATGAAGATGAGGATTGGAATCCAGCGCCACCGAGTCCACTGACAGCGTCAAAGCCACCAACGCCTCCAGCAGCGGCACCACCACCAAATGAGCTTGATTCATAGGATGAAGATGACGATTGGAATCCAGCACCATCGAGTCCACCGACAGCAAGTCCGGCTTCGGCACCGAACCCGCCAGTGCTTGCTGAGAAGCTTGATGATTCATAGGATGAAGATCCACCAGCACCACCAACGGCGAGACCGGCACCACCAGCACCAAAGCTATTGCTTTCGAAGCTTGATGATGATGCACCGAAACCGCTAGCTTCTTGGCCGTAGGTTGCAGCACCAAATCCGACAGCAACACCACCAACAGCTGGAGGTGACTAGATAATTTGAAATGAAAGATGGATTATTTTTCTATCGTCGCAGAAATACAGAAACACTTACAATATCTTCAACAACACCAGCAGCACGAGCTTGTTGGAGAAGTGTGGCAGCATCAAGGAGTTGAGCACCGTATTGTTGAATATAGGCTTGTGGGTTTTGTTGAGTAACACCAAGTCGTTGAAATTGACGAACAACACGCACTTGAACGGGTTCGTATTGAATAATAACGTTACGTGGACGAGCATATTGTTGAGCAGCAGCGGCACGTTGAACAATGGTTTTTCGTTTGGCTTGAGCTCCATATGGAACCCATCGCTCGATGATGATATCACCTAGAGGCAAAATCGAAACGTCGAATATTGTTCGAGGAAAAGAAAGTTTTACGTACGAGGACGAGGTGGAAGGGGTGGTAAACGTTCAATAACAACTGATCGTGGTGGAACAGGTAAAGCTGCTAGACGACGAACAACTGTTTGAGAAGCACAAACCGCGGGTGGTTTTGGTGGACGTTCACGAAGAATGAGTGGTGGTTGTTGAGGAAGAGGTGGAGCTTGTTGACGAATGCGAAGAGGTGGTGGTGGAGGTGGTTGAGGTGGGCGCACTTCTTTGATGATGAGTGGCTAGAAAAACAAAAGAAAATAGATAACAGTTTTCTACTATTGTCTTTGTTCAGATCTTCGTAAAGATCACTTACGCCTGGTGGTGGGATTGGTGGCGGCTGAAGGAAGCGAACTTTGATGTTTTGTGTATATGTTTGAACACCACCAGCAGCTGGACGACGAATGATTTGTGGGTTTGGATCTTTGAAGAGACCTTGAGCATCGGTCGCATATGTCTGAACATTAGTTTGTGAGTTGTATGATGATGCGGAACTGTCGAATCCAGCGCCTGCAACACCGACACCAACACCAACAACTCCAGCTCCAGCACCAGCACCAGTTCCGAAACCATTTGACGATTGGAAGGATGATGATTCGTACGATGACGAATTACCATAACCACCGCCAACTCCGAAACCAGCACTAGCAGCACCAGCTTCAAATCCACCGTTACCGAAAGATGATGATGACGCTTCATAGCTTGATGAACTACCGTAGTTTCCAGCTGCGAAACCTGCACCAGCACCAGCACCAGCACCGTATCCAGAGCTGTTGAATGAGGATGATTCATAGCTTGATGCGCTACCGGCTCCGCCAGCACCGCCAACCCATCGATTGAATTCACTTCGATCAATGTTACCGTCACGGTTGGTATCAACTTGATTGAAAATTGCACGAACAGGGTCGAAACTCATGATTATATATAATCGGTAGTTGTAATGAATAGATGAGCGGTCTAGTCAAACGATAACGATGAATGCAATCCTTATGACTCTGATGGTGCACTTTTATACCCGAACAAGGATAGTTTAACGACAGTAACCCCTGTAATCACTCGAGCGTATATCAGAGAGACATTTCTTTTTTTTAGTTGACGCTGGAAAATAATTTTTTATTTTTTTTTCTCCTTCTATTTCGTAAACACCGCTTGTTTACCACCGATACATAACCGCCAATCAATCCATGTATTTGGTTAATTACGTCGTCTCCTTGTGGTAAATTTCTACCACCTCAGCAACCTACGGATAGCAAAAAAAATGCAAAATTTCTCTCTCTCTGTCTCTCTCTTCTCTTTTTTATTTCATTCGAAATATTTTCTGCTCAAAAACGAAAGAGGAGAATACTAATAAAAAAAAATGTTTATAATGCAAAATATAATCACCTCACATCATATAACAATAGACCAAGGTTTTATGTATATCCACAGATACACTTGCTCTCTAATTCTTTCGTCGTATTATCGTATTTTGCCATACCTGTCATCGCTCATCATATGATTGGGCATGTTATGATCATCAACAACATCAACAGGACAGCTACGTTTTATTATCCTATTTATTTTCGAAATCTGTCATATATACTTGTCAATATGTTGCATGTCTAACAGGGTAGTATTATGTAGCGAAGCACAGTCAATGCTTGCCAAGCCAAAAACGGCAATCAATCGATGATTGGGTTCAATATACACGGCGGCGCAATTACTAACCATACGACTCACTCGTCTGTATCTGGTCTAGGTGACACAGAAATACCATTAAGGTATTTTCATGTAAAAATCGGCATCAAAGCTTCCTTTTAATTGCCAAAATAATTCATAAACGGGTATATACAAGAAGATATTGTTAATAGGCACATTATTTTCTGAACAGACAAAAAAAGAGGATCAGTATAACAATTTTCACGATTAATCTTACCCATTAGATTCTGATCAGACACATACAAATAAATATTATCATATACTCTCGATACATTCATCACTATAACTACCGTAGCTAAATATCTTATCATAATTTATCATCTTTCATCGAATCCTTTTGCCGTTACTCTGCAGGTACTGATTGTTTATGGTAGATAAAATAGACGCTGACGTGTCTGTATGTGGCACATATTCTTTTGAATTTTCCGATGGTATTTGATTCTTTTCGCAAACACACTCAATTTGATAATAAAAAATGAAGAAAATTTTTCTGTTACCATGCACCGTCTTTGTCTACGTGCATTTCTATTCTCTTCTTTCATGGCTCCTATGCCTCATTTTGTACAAAAGTGGTTTTCAATTACATCGACCTTCGAAGAATATTTAGTGAGAATATGATTGCAATTAATATAAATCATTTATTTAGCATTTTACTTTGTTCATAAAGTACCACACAAGAAACAAATATAGATCACTTAACTAAATATTGTCTAGTTCATACGCGAATATGGTCAGCAAGAAGAGAAAGAGAAAAGAAAGAATTCTCTCGTGATCGCACGTGTTTATCCATTTTCATCATTCTTCTTCACAATTATGCTTTGTTTTCTACATTTCCATCTCGAAACAATTAACAGTAAGGAAAATGTTTTTCTTTCATTGTTAATATTCATTGAATGTCATTTATCATCCAAGAGAGAAAAAAATACCCAATTTTTTTGTCAATGAGTGTTAATTATGAAAAATATCGATTAGAAAGTTGTTGTTGACGGAGAATAATACGTAAAATCGATTGTTTTTGTTTATAGGATAGTTGTTGATTAAGAAGGTCATCATTAAACGAAATTTCCATCGTATGACACGAACAATGCGAGAGAGATTTCATCGTTTCCAATAGATCATCGATATCTGGTCTTTGACCGAGTTGATTTTCATTGGTGAAGTTAATATAGATTCTATCGGAGAAATTTATTCCATTTATAGATGACAGGGATGTGTTTGTTGTACTCGCAGATAGTGCAGGTTTGAAGGAATCGAGAATGCGTTGAATTAAAACGCTTTTCGTTGTTTCTTTCGATGAAAGTGATAAATTACTAGATGATGTTGGTAGGAGATTAGAGAACTGAGAAAACTGTTTTTTTTAATCATCATAGTTAATCTTACACACCGATGAAATCTCGTCGATAATCTTATGTATCTTAGGAGGTTCTGAAGAGTTCAATGGAAGTAACTTCTGATACTCATCAGTATCGCCTAGAATGGTTGAGAGGGAATGAATATTATGATCAGTGATTCTGTTTATGGTTACTCATGACTTTGTTTGATATTCCTCAGAATAACGATTGTCGATAGATATGACACGAAGTCGAAGAAAATGCTTGTTTATGTTAAAATGTATGGCGCTTATTTCATGGCGCAAATGAAGCATGAAATTCAGTACCTATGATCGATGTCTTTCCTATAGCATAAAACAATCTTGTGCAGAAGATGATGAACTTATGTTGTCTTTTAGATTGAATGTAAATAATGGTTGGTGATGAGAAGAAATTAGCTGAATCTTCATTGATACCACTAGAAATCGATCCCAGTAAAGACACAAGTTAATTTTTCCAAACAAATTCATTGGTTTTTTTTTGAATTATTTTCTAGCCAGTATTTTAAGCTTATCCAAAGGGGTCATATTTGATACTATTGTACACAATATTGAATGCACATTGAACAATCGACAAACTAATCCATTACCATGGAAACTTACCGGCATGTCATTGATTTGCGATCCAAGTCGAAACAAGAAGTATATGCAAAAACTTCAAAAAATGCAGGTAAAACAAATCATTTCACACTTCGGACATACTTAAGTGCATCTTGTATTGGTACAGAGGATTAGATCAATTCTTTGATGTAGTTCGACTGATTTGTAAGTGACAAGGCGATAGAAAGATCAAAGGAGGATATTATCCAATAATCTTTATTCGTGCCCTTTGCGTTTGTGAAATATGTCATCCATTAGCAGTAGACGATTTGGCTTATCCATGAAAACGAAACAGCTGGTCAATCCTCGGAAAGAACAGAGTCAAACTATCTTTCATAAAAAAAATATCCGTTTAATTGTAAATCGTTCATTGAATTCATGTAAATGAGTTTAAAGATGAAAAGATCCGCTTTTGATAGGCAACATCTGTCACATTTTTTTATATGCTGAAGGTCATTTCGAGATTAGATCAAAGATCACTTTTTAGTGTGTGCCATCGGTTATTTGTACACAAATTTATCATTCCAAACTTGTCAAAACTGAAGCTGGTGCTCTGACAACACCAGGGAAGAAGATTCTCCTCCGATCTACTCCATTAAGACGATTAACCGGTGTTTTTGTTTGTCGATCAATCGATGAATTGTTAGCCATGGAACCATCCAATACCGAAAACGTTCATTATATTCAATACAAAGTAGAAATTGCTTACTGAGAGGAAGAAAAAAAAGCGAGATTTGAACGTGATTTGTTTTCAGTTATTGTCTTATGAGTATCTTGCCACACGTGAGCTTGTGAATGGACCGAAATTGACTGCAGTTGGCGATCGAATTATTGTAAGAAAAAGAACTTTCTTTTCATGATGGAACATAAAAGATTAATTTTGATTTAGAAAACTGTTTTCGATTTTGAACTGGCACAAAATTATGGTTTCCCTCGGCAGTTATTACCCGTGGCAATCGTATCGTTTTCTCGAGAAGCCGGCTGTGATCTAACTGCATCGATTCGGCATTTTCTAAATTTAGAAGATCATAAAGTTTTCGACAAGTAAACGAAACAACTTCACTATAACCGTTAATAACGAACTGAACTATTTTATAGGTCCTATCTTGTCACGTCTACAAGTGTTGAATCCGATCGTTTACGTGAAGAACGCGAGAGAAAAGAAGATGCTGAAGCTGAACAAGAATTTTTGAATGAAGACATCCAACGACGACAACCATTGGCTGATCTATCGAAGAAGAGCACGGGTATAACTCTATCAATCGATAGTCTTCGTTTAGAAATTGTTTTCTCTATGTATTTAGATACTGGAAATACACGAGTGACAGATATGTCTGCACCATCAATGCGACCTCCATTAAAGATTAAAATCCCGTTGACGGAAAAAACAGCCAAACAATCTGTTGCGGATGCACCGCTTGACCGAAAATTTCGATGCTTACTTCAGCTAGATCGATTGGATCTATCCAAGTACAGTATCAGTAACATAAAGGCAATGGCACAAATGAAAAATCGCAAATCGAGTGAACTGACAGCATTGTCATCAGATTCAACTCATCAGGGAACGAAATCATTAATTATTACAAAGCCGCATAAACATCATAAGCCATTGAAACGTTTGAACAACGAAGAAACAAAGAGACAATCAACTTCGCTTTCAGAAATATTCAAAGAGAAACGTTCGGATGAAACAAGATCAGTTGGTGTATCTGCAATTGATATGACAGTATCATCAGCAAGGGAAAAGAGCAAAGAAAGATCGGACTCATCTTCGTCGATGTCACCGATATATCGACCGTTACCATCTATTCTAAAACGATTAGGTTTGTTTACAAAGAAAATTACCTTTCAATCAAATACACGCTTTTCGTTTGTAGACAAAGATGTGAAGAAAAAGAAAGTTGTACGACCTTCATTACCAACGGAATATCGCTGCTCACTACCTTTAACACAAATCGATCTATCCATGTACGATCTTGATTTACCACCACTACCTACAACTTCATCTATTACCACCGAATCGCTGGTCACAAGTGAGTACTATCGTCTAATTCTACAAACTAATAGCAGTGATTTTAGCTTCACCATCGGATTCAACGTCTTCATCTGAACGCCGAACCGATTCTTCCAATAATGCACCAGCGGAATCTGAAAATGTTGGAGGTAAGGACGATATTATTTGATTTTTATGTCAGACGTGTTTTCACAATCAATTTTATTTTGGAGAATAACTTTATCCATACATTATAGTGCTATATTGTCATGATTTAGGTATTAATCAGCAAACATTTACATTGGAACAGGAGAGCAACCAGGACCTGGACGATACAAATTTATTTGATGGTCCAATGTTCGACGATATCAATACAAATGTACCTTTACCAAATATCATAGATGAATTTTTAACACCTGATCTCAATGATGCATTACTTACGACAGATATCGAAGTCGATCTCACATCGTCAAGTGATATTGTCCTGAGACCGGTCAATTCAAAGAATGATATTTCATCATCTCTAGTCTATGAAACAGTTCCGGAAGCAATGAATGATATTTTGACAGATGCATCGAACGCATGTACAGCAGAGGTTACAGACGCTATCGCATCAGCAGCTGCAACTGAAGTACCGGCATCTACAACTAATCATGAAGAAATGGATACTTCAAATGATATCCAGATGGATGTGAGCAATGAAAATCATTTATCAATCACAACTGCTGATCAAAGTGAAACGACCAACGAAACATTATCAAACACTGTCAATGAAGAAGCAATCAAATCCAATTCTCCTGATTCATTGGTTGCTTACTCACCAACATTGCCACCTCTCGATGATGATCCTATTTTACTTTCTGTTGAAACTCCCCAACTTCCAATTGATAATGTACCCAACCCAGATCCACAGGAATATCTCATCATTGTACCATGTTCAGATGATGAAGACTACCCTGATGATGATGACGACATTACTACTAACAAAACTGATTCAAAAATAATAACAACTGATGATGTGAAAAAGAAACCAGCGGAGTGTCAAAACGAACCAGTCTACAATGAAAAAACTTCCCCTCCCCTCAATCCATTACTATCACGAGGTAAAACAAAGAAGTATTTCATTTTCACAAGATTCACTTTTATTAATTCTCCTTAGTTCTTACGAATCTCAATCGTTCGAATTCTGATCGTTTGTCCATCTCACCCACCTCATCATGTTCCTCAATATCGGTAAAACCCTATCGATATTCCAATTTTCACCAACTCCTCTTCCACATATTCTTTCAGGCGTCAATCCTTCAAAATCAATATCCACAATCACCATTACAGCTAACTGTCGTTTCTTTATCACAAAAAATTCTTAATAAAAGACGACGAACATCGAATTGTATCGCATTTCCTCACTTTAACATGCCCATTCCATTGCTTGCCCATGAGCCATTGATTGATCCACGTCTAATCTATCGTTTACAAACGATAACAACGGATCTTCGTTGGCCAACTCCTTGTAATCAATGTTCCATATCTAGTCATCATCCATCATTATCCACAAGCACGACTCAAATGATATCTCTAGATCGAAAATGTGTATCAAATTGTATCGATCCGCGTCGCGCAACATTGAAAATTGCTATTCTAAACTTTATCCATCAACGCTTAAAACTTCTCATACCAAATATTTTCATAATCAATTCGAATGAATTCCAACATCTTTTATTTGAACAAACCACATTTGAAACCAACTGTTCCCTGCATCTAGAACATCTCCTGGACAAACTCAATGAACTTGATGATGTCAACTTTTTTCAATTACTCAAAAGTAATGAAGAATTTCATTTATCAACGCGTCTCCTACAACTGATTTTTAATTAAAAAACCCATTGAATATAGCGTTTTTTGCTATCTATTAATACTTTAGTTGTTTCTCGACAAAACATTACTCGCACTTTTTGCTATGTTTCCTTCGACAGTCAGCCTGTACTATATATAATATAGATATACATATATGGATGAAAACATTTGTGTTATTGGTCTTTCTGCGTTCCTTTGTTTTTGGTGTTATTTGTTCTTGTTATATTGAAAGTCTTTCCATTCTATTGTTCTTTTTGTTTAGTTTAGTTCTGAAGAAAACAGTACTGGTTAATAAAGATCATTTCTAAAGAAGATATTCTGCTGCTCTTCCACAATGTGAATGTTGCTTGTCACTTTGGAAGAAGAGAACAACGAGATAAAAATAGTTCGTTGAAGAACGAATCGTCATATATTGCAAATTGTTTGTTCTGTTTCAACTACAATGTAGCAACGTAACTGATAACATAGTTTTAAATCTGTCTGCATAGTTTTTATTTTTATTATATAACATTACCGAGTGATATGAATGATACGCACTTGATTCAGACAACAGTGAAACAAGCTCATCTCGAAGAAATTAGTCATTATATCTATGCGATTGTTTATCCCATTGTGTTTCTTTTGGGACTGATTGGAAATTTATTCTCATCATTAGTTTTCTCTATAACAAAACTGCAGCGCACATCATGTGGAGTTTATTTTATTCTTCTTGCCGTCGCAGATTCGATTGCATTGATCGGCGGTCTTCATCATTGTCTCACAATTGGCTATCATGTCAAAGTCCGCAATGCTATCTATTGCCGCGTTCGAAATTTTCTTCTCTACACAGCCATGGACATGGCTTCGTGGATGGTTGTGGCCATATCAGTTGATCGATTTTTAAAAATGAAATTTCCCATAAAAGGACGAAAGTATGCGACACGGAAATTAGCAATTATTGTCTCATGTGTGATAACCACTGTGTTTGTTCTGAAAAATGCTCATCTAGCAACACCTTTTATCGGCGATTTTTCTGAAGATGCTGCCGATCATTGTGATCCCAATCCTGACTATCCGAATTACATGTCATTCTTCAAGAATGTCTGGCCATTTATCGATCTTGCTACCTTCGCACTATTTCCATTCGTAATCGTCACTGTATGTAATGCATTTATCATCCGTGACCAATACAAACGACGTTTCAAACTTCGAAAACGTAATCTTGATCATTCATTAATCACCTTACTTTTAGTCAGTTCGATTTCGTTAATTATCTGTAATCTTCCGATTACCATACTCGCTGTTGTTTATCCGTACGTATCATTGTCGTATGACACAAATGATACGTACGATGAAGTTGCATTTGCGTTTGATATTTTACGTTTACCCTCATATGGTTCGTTAGCATTGAATTTTTATTTGTATTATTATAATTCAGCTGTTTTTCGGCAACAAGCCGTGCTCTTGTTTAAGCGAATATTTCGTATTCCGATCGAAAGAAATGAAGATATTGAATTGACGAATCGAATACCTACGGATCGAACTCGATTTGAAAATCGATTGTATTCCATTGAAGAATCTGACGAATATCAACAAATATCTGGTTCAACATCGAATGACAATAGTTTCATCTCCAGTTTCTATCGACAAAACTAACAAACTGAACATTCATTTTTTATGTACAATTGTCTCTGTAAACCTTTTGGGTTAGATTTTATATATCACGAAAAACACTCCTTATTTTCTCCTTTCGGAGACTATCAGCACCGAATAAGACAATCAGCATATGACCATTTCACGATGAATCATTGGAAATTTCGATACGATAGTGTAATTAATCTATGTACGGATACATTTGACTTTGGTACACTTCGATAGAATGCCTTATCTCGAATAAATATTCTGTTCTGGACTACGAGTCACGATATATTTGCTGCATAAAGCCAGTTGTTTCGATTCACATACGTTTTATTTCTTACTAAACTATTTCATTTTGAAAAAAAAGTAGCCTGAAATGAATCAAACATTGGTGACCACATTGATGTCCACGGTTCATAGCGAGCTTGAAGAATTAATTCAGTATATCTACATGATTGTTTATCCGATTATTTTCATCACTGGTCTCATCGGTAATTTACTCTCATCCTTGCTCTTTTCGATTACTGAGTTGAATCAAACTTCATGCGGAATCTATTTTCTTCTTCTTGCCATCGCGGATTCACTTGCGTTAATTGGTGGTCTTCATCATTGTCTTACCATCGGCTACCGTGTGATTATACATAGTGTTACCTACTGTCGGGCGCGAAACTTTATTTCGTACACGTCAATGGATTTGGCTTCGTGGATGGTCGTTGCTATATCACTTGATCGGTACATAAAAGTGAAATTTCCTGTCAAATCACGCGATTATTGTACACAAAAGCTGGCGATTATCGTCTCTTGTGTGTTGACATTTGTTCTTGTGCTAAAAAATCTTCATTTCACCACGAAATTTATTGGAAATTTTGCTGCCGATGCCTCAGAACACTGCGGTCCCAATCCCAAATATCCGACTTACATGTCATTTTTTCAAAACGTATGGCCATGGATCGATTTAGCCATATTTGCACTTTTACCATTCATTCTCATAACTTCATGCAATATTTTTATTATTTACAATCTATACAAACGACGTGTGCAACTTGGTCATCGTAATCTCGATCGTTCGGTAGTGAAATTTCTTCTGATCAGTTCCATTTCCTTCATTATCTGCAATTTTCCCGTCTCGATCACAATCGTTCTTTATCCCTACATCTCGAGTAACTATGGCAAGAAACAATCGTATGATGAGATTGCATTTGCATTTGATATCTTACGTTTACCATCGTATATATCGTTGGCATTTAATTTCTATTTGTATTACTATTCATCGAGTTTATTTCGGCGCCAAGCCATGCTTTTGTTTCACCGTTTGTTTCGTATTCGATCGAGAGTAGATCAAAATCAAACACCGGCAGTTCAAAGAATTTGTCAAGAACAAAACAATTCAATTGAACTCTCCGACGAAAGATAAACTTTCCTTTATGAAATTCACTTGTTCTGTATATAAGAGATCGATCGAATGCGACATCTGTTGAACATTTGTTGTTATTTGTCAACAAGTGAAAACGAAAATAAATGCAAGAACTTTTCTTCTTCTTTCTATTTATCAACAGACCTTCTATTTTGTTCTTTTTTTTTATATCTAGAGGTAGTTACAAGTTGTTTCGCTTGAGTAAATATTCTTCTTTTTAGAGATGAATTTTGTTCTGGCAATTGCTGTTATTTCATCAGTGATCTGTATGCTAATTTTCTTATTTATTGTATAAACGACATCTTTGCTTTTCTGAGTTAGACTCGATCCATGCCGGTGAATGCTTAGTACATCATCACCCAGATTATTTGTCATTAACAACCAATACAAATAATGGATTAACAGTCTCGGATTTTTCCAACAATTTAGCTACACTTTTAGGTTTATCAACAGATATGGTAAAAATATACATTTGAACAATTTTGATCTCTTATCGCACTGATTAATATAGACTTCGAAACCATTGTTTTATTCAACGAATACATGGGAAATCCCAAAATCGACCTGGTTGTTCCACGTCGAAGGATTCGATCGATTATCTAATGGTGGTTTAACCTTAGTCGACGTAACTAAAGCAGCGTGTTGATTTCTTGTCTAAAATGACCTATAAAACTTTTAGGATAACGGATTTAATATTGATTCAATACATTCCAAATTACGCAGTGTTGACCATGCTGATAGTTTAAATATGGGATCAATAGTCATTGTAAGTTTGACGTTATCTGACGAAACTTTTCTTTGAAAAATTTGTTTGTTTTTTTTTGCAGACATCGAATGCTGACATGGATAATTTCGAAAATACTTTGAAAAAACAGGTTGCACAAATGGACAAGCAAGCTTTACTCAAATATCTTGTTATCGTTTGTGATGATTGTCAACAGGATAAGTTGCAAACACAATTGAAGACCGTTGTCGATCAAGTAATTTTATTTTCAAAGCAACATCGAAGTCGATTTACTTTGGAATCATTTTAGATTGTTTCAAATGAGCCAGAAGCTTTAGTCATGACGTTAGTAACTAAAGAAACTGCACGTGTACGTCGTGCACGAGATGCTGAAGCAGTTGTAAGTCATTGATGTCTATCCAACAACGGTTTTTCTAAATCCAAAATGTATATTTAGGCTCGTAATGTCACAATCGCAACAATGTATTCCGACGAATATCCAACAATGTTCAATCTATTCTTTTGGACATCATTAGTCTTTGCATTGATCGTCATCAGTATTGTCTATGTGTTTTTAACCTTAGATCCCGGATCGGATACAATTATCTATCGTATGACAACTCCACGAGTGAAGGTCGATTAAACATATTCCAAGGCATTTTAAATTCGATTTGTTCCCTTTCGTTTCTTTATTTATCTACCTGAACTCTATCAATTCGATGTGCACTTCAAACTATTCTTTTCCATTTAATTTAACTATACATATATATTTTTCTGTTCGTCTGTCTGGATGTTGTTCGGTCGGTGTGTTCCTTTCTCGTCATATCTGTTTGTTTGATTAGAGGACCAATTGGTCATCCACGTTTATTTTCTTGAATTTTAAGAACTAAAACCTTTTATTTACATAAAAGAAAAAAAATGATTATCAAATAGGTTTTGAAAGGATAGATTGTCCGAATGATTGATCGTATGATTTAATGTATTCAGCGAATGATGCACGCAATTCAAGCAAACCTAAATTGAGAAAAAAATGACAAGTGTTTTGTTCTCAACCCATCTCAGTGTTTTCTGTCATTTCGCCTCAAGCTTTATTACCCTATTATGATGAAGTACTCTATTCATAACTTATTACATTCTCGACGCTGCATTGTCGGTAGGTACTTATTTAGTCACACCTGAGTGAGTGAGGAGGGAGAAACGACTGATACGTTAAATTTTTCTCATCTTTGTTTGAAATGTAAATATTAGCACTGTTGTTTAAAAATTACTTGGTCGATGGATAATCAACATTTGAAATAGATGCAAAATACGTTCGTTGTATTCGGATGAGATACGATGCAATGCTTTAGCTAGCAGAATTGTCATTTTCTGGAGATAAAAGAAAGAATCAGCGCTTGTATCACAAGAAAAATTGAGACTAACGAACCTCATCGATTGCTGAAAAGTTCGATTGACAGATGCCTTCAATCATTTGCAATACACCTGATTGATTACCGACTTGAAGGCGAGCAACCAACGCCATTGCCCAAGTCCACGTTAACCACGGATAGTTATGTACTGCATTCATAGTATAACTATATGTTTCTCGAATTTTGTTCTAAAATCGCAGAAGAAAATGAATGGATTATTGACTTGAGTGATTTACTGTGAAAAGCATTGATAGGCATGTTAACAGATGAATGTTCATAGTGTAGTTTGAATCAGTCAACTTGGGCATTTCTTTCAAAGCTGCAGATGATATGCGAGTATCTGATATCTTCATTCCAATGGCGCACAGCGATGTTATCGCACTTGGACAAACAGGTTTTGTTTTATAACTGAAATTTCGCAAATGAATATCAAATGATTTTCTTCATTAGAGAGAAAAACCTCTTGAATAAATGTTGAACAGCGGCTTGTGGATCAATTTCTCGTTGATAAAGTCCAAGAAACGTTAATAAAATCGATCGTTCTTGATCTATTGTCGATGGGTCTTCACTAAACCGTTTCAAAACTAGATATTTCAACGAAACTCAATTGAGTATAACTATAAATTATTCAACTATACTTTCAATTGCATCTGGTCTTTTGTTCTTCTTTCCATAAGCGATTGCTACCCATAGAACATCAAGCAACGTGACCTTCACACCTTCTAAGACAAATGCCTCGATTTGAGGATCATCAGCTCGACTAAAACACAAACAAGACTTCATCATAAAGATTTCTATATCGTTACCATCGAACACGGGCATAGTCATTTCGAATCGTTTTCGACGCTTGATCTTGTTGGTTCATATTAACAAACGAACTAAAACAAGAAAACTTTCACTGTCACTTGAAACTACACAAATCGCTTTTTCCTACAGTTGATAAGCATGAGCAGCTTGAATAAAACGTCGATTGAATTCATGGAGGATGCCCAAACATTGCAAAGCGTTTGCATCCTTGGGATTTCGTTCTATGTTAGACAAATAAGAACTAAGCAGATAACATATTAAAAAAATTTCCATACGAATGTATTTTATTAGTGCATCTGCTGCTCGTTGATTGCCATGTAAGTAGTCAATTGCATATCGATAGGTTTCACTCGATTTATTCGTTGGTTTCACAAGAAGATGAGCAATGACTTTTCCATAGCCATATAAACCTTGGCACTAAACAGAAGAAAATTTCTTTAGCTGAAAAATCTTTGACTTATTGTAATGTTTTACATGATTAGAAAGGTCAACACAATGACGGTAAAGATCAATTGATTCATTATGATCAATCTTTTCCGCGAAAAGTGCCTGGAAAGATTCAATTTGATTATATCCGTGTAACTGCACAATACGTTACTTGTCCAATCCAAGCCAATGGGTACATCGGATCTGTCTGTTGAGCTTTTGAAAATGCTTTGTTTGCTAGTTGAAGATTTTCATGTCGGTAATAGAGGAAACCAAGATTCGCATAGGCAATCGCTGATCGTTGTAATTGAAGTGATTTGAAAAAGCAATGTTGAGCAAAGCCCGATTCATTGATAACTTAAATAAAACATAATTCACTTCACAAATTTCACACGAATAATTCTACCTGGATGTGCCGCGATCACTCCGAGTGCATTCCAGAGCAAATAATCATTGGATTTCAATGAAACTGCCACTTTCATATACTCCAATGCTAATGTAAACAACTGTTGATCATTCGAACGATAACGAGCTTGAATGTAGACACACTGCGCGAGTGCTGACCAATATACCGCAGAGCGTGATTTCAAGCGAATAGCTTGCATATAACACCTATGCGAACCAAATATGCAAATATAGACATTACCTTAGTTTATACATACTTTTGTGCACGTTGAAGAAGATCAATCTTTTTCAAATGAACGCAATTGTTCACATCTTTTATTTTACTTCCATCTAATCTTTCCGATAATAATGGTAATTGTATATCAATTAAATCGTCGTTGACTGAATGAAGAAGCATGCATGCATCTCCGTATTTTTTCCATAAACAAGCGTATCCTGATTGTAAACAGAGAGCGTCGTTAAAAGCCTACAGAACAGTCTTTTGAGTTGATAAATATTCATCAATGAAAGTCAAATACGTACGGTAAGTGACTGTTGAATTTGTTGAACAGCAGCTTGATCTCTGTATCGCCCAATCAAATGAATGGCAAGATAATAATGAGCTTCACCTTTGCCTAAAATACATAATCGAACTCATGATACAAGTTGTACACGAAAAACATGTCCAAACCTTTTCTCGCCAGCAGATATTTTGGTGATTGACCAATTACTTTATCAAATAAAGTAATTGCTTCATTATAACGACCAAGTAATGTCATAGCGCATGCTTGTCGTGTTAATGAATACAATGTTTCCGATTCTAATGAGCGAGCTTTGTTGTAACAACTCAATGCTGTTTTTAAATTATTTGTATGAAAATGCGCATCACCCAATGCTGACCAACTTGCTCTAAACAACGAGAAAATAAAAACCTAGTAGATAGAAAGGTTTTATCTGTGGATGAATCTACCCAGACGCATTTGGACGTCGAGAAACAATCTGTAATGATTTAACTGCGTTATGGATGTTATTCAATCGAAGTGATACAAGTCCGAGACGAAACTGCGCCCAAGTTTTAGTACTATCGATTGCGAGAATTCGTTCTAATACATCCAGTGCATCAGCCTGAAGTAAAGTGAACGAAAAGAAGTGGATCAATTCGAAAGAAAAATGATTTTACAATTTGTTCAGCTTGAAGAAGATGATCAACATAATTGATTTGCACACTTTCAATGTTTTCATTCAATTCAAAAGCACGTTTCGAGTATGCCAAAGCTTCTGGTAAAGATTCTTCAATTTCCTTGTAATATAGACTCAGACAAGCATAACTCTCCCAAAGATATTCATCAAGTTCAATGGCCTAAAAGAAATAATCTTTTCCATGAACATCAAACATTGATATTCACAGAGAATTACTTTTTCTAACGCGTATTTACATTGACCTTTGTCGAATATATCATTTGAACGCTGAATCGCTAAGTAAGCGCGACCAACTGTTAACCAACCTTGAACAGTTAATTGAAAAATTTCTTCGTTGCTATTTGCTTCTTGTAACGCAGCTTGAACTCTATAAAAAATTTGTAAAATGAACTTTTTCGTTTTATAAAGTTTGAGTTGAAAATACATTTTCAAAAGATCGGCAGGATGCTCTTCGATCAGATGCAGTTGGAGACGACAAGATAATTCTTCGATTGGATTTAAACGATCTTTCACTGTTTCATAGCATGTTCTTGCTTCCAATGGTTTGTTAAGACTGATATAAGCATTGAATTGACCAATAAATGCTCGATCATGGTATTTATTCGGTGTGTTTCGAACCTATTGCCAGACAAATCTGTGAAATACTGAATTTCGTGAATTCTACTACTTTTTCGAAGAGTTGAATCGATTTTTCATATCGACCAAGATCATAAGTGACCATAGCTAAGCATAGATCTGCTAGAGATTCTACTGCTGATATTGAATCTTTCACTATAAACTTGCTTGATTTTGTTCGCACTAAAGGCCAGCGAATAAAAGATCATTTTATTCAAATTGCAAATTAGTTTACCAATTGTTGTAATTTCTGTTGTTTCTTTTATTAAATGCAAATGCGCATAACAAACCATTTTCAAGATAAACACCAAGTGATCCGAATCTATGGAAAAATTTTCCATTTTTCATCAAAACTAATCAAATTTCTGTTTACCTTCTTGTTCTTCGATGCCAACCAACGATTCCAGTGCTGCAGAGTACTTTTCGTTTCGAATCGAAAAGAATGCTTTACCACAAACCGACGGACCTGATGTTCGATCGCCCGACCGAACACGATTCAGAGCATCTGTAAGTTTAGCAACCGGTGCGAACGGATCATCTAATCGAAAAATCACAATAGCAAAGCCACGAGACTATTTCAAAGTCGAGTTTTACATATTTGTGGTAACAATGCTTCTAATACGATGATAATCAATGTATTCTGAGCGATTGTGGAATTAGGAAACAAAGTAAGACATTCATTACAATATTCGACGATGTCTGAACTTGAACGACCGAGCTGAAAATATTGGAAATACACAATCCAACTGTCTTAACATACGATAAACGTTTACTTGACAGATAGAACGAATATATTTTTCGTAATAATCTAATCGCTGTACTTCATCTGAACTGCCCTGTGAGAGCCAAAAGTAACTACTACTTATCTAAAATAGAAGATAGCGAATGATGTAGATTTTGTTTCTTCTTTCTCTTAGGATACCAACGAATTCATTTAAAATTGGTGGAATTGTTTTAACAGATGAAAGTGTTTCAATTGCTAACAATCGATAGATTCGTTCATCTTCTTGACTTATTTGTAAACGTTTATCTTCAGTGATATCTTTACAAAGTTGAACTAATTGAGTTCGAAGTGGATTGTTTTGTTCATTGGTAGTTGTCGTTGGAATGGCGATTTGTTTCTTCAAATATTCGATGTATTTCTTTGCATAATCAAAGAATTTGTTTGCATCACTAGTACAACAAAAAATGGCTAAATGCAGAGTACTGATTATAAACATACGTAGAATGAGTTAATGAACATAATTTTCGAAATGCACTAGCAATATCACTTTCATTGAGAAATCCTGGTGAACGGTCACCTAATTGTATGAGACCCTATAAAAATCAATGTATACAACGAAGTTCTCTTTTTGATTATACTTGATATGCTAGTGGTTGATTTTCATCGACTTCGATAGCTTTATTTAATGCATATTGAGCTTGATTGAATTGTTTCAATTCTTGTGCACAAGCAGCAATCATTACCCATGCAGTGTAACAAGTTTTATCCTTTTTAACGATGGTCTAGATGAACAAAACATATCGATGATAAACACGTTTATGTTTTGCTGGAAGAGACACTATCTTACTTCACATAGTTTCAACGCTCCACTATGGTCCTTTTGAGTAATCAAATCTCGTGCTTGCTTTAACTGCGCTTTGATCTCTTTTGCTAGAGCAGCTGAATCTCCGCTAGCCGCTGCCATTTAGACTGATAGAAAAACAAGTAATCTATAAAGGAAATAAATACTAATATGTTTATTGTATTTAACAAATCTTTGTTTTTTTTTCAGAAAAGCAAAAAACTATTATCGGACTTGATTATGTCGATGTGTAATTCTATATTGCTGAGAATTTGTATGTGTTTTTCTATATTGAACGAACCATTGTCGTTCAAGCCAAAATTTCGATTGAAAGGTTTGTATTTCTTGATGAATATTATCCGAATCAAGAGCTATGTCGAAATCGAATATGTTCAGATTCGGCATTTGACTAAGTAAATCTGCCCAATATTGTCCATTTACATAAGAAGTTGCTACCGTTCGAACCGATAAATGATGTACTTGTGGAAAACGTTGAATTAAATCGAACGCTGCTTGGTGAGGTCCAACAAGAATATCGACTTTCAAATAAATAAAATTTGACATAAGAGATGAAAGGGAATCCAGTTTGATAGGTCGTAATGCTTGAGGATAAAAGTATAATCCACAACGAATGTTCAATTGAATCGAATCAAATTTCATTTGAGTACTCAGATGTTTTTGAAGAAGAAGAAGAGTATTGAATGGAGGACTGGTTTCAATAAATAGATGCTTATGATTGCTGTTGTTTATATATGGTCGACGATTAGCCAAGGTAAGTTTACAAACAGTTTGGTTTTGTGAATCACAAGAGTTGTTCTCAATCAAACGAAGTGTACGGAGTGACGAAAGATTGGATATCATGAAAAACAATGATTCCAACTGTTCGCTCGTTGGTGATATTAGCGAAAGACAGCGAAGATTAGGAAATTGAGTAAAACTATACAATTGAGTGAACAAATCAATAACAATTTTCGAACTAAATGATATCGGAAAACAATGATCGACTGTCGATGATCTTCCTAAATCCAAACACACAACTTGTGGAATCCATTTGGGAACAATACTCTTCAATGTTCGCATATATTTCGTTTTATTCGATGTATTAAACTTGAATTTCATTGGAACATCTTTCACAATTTGATTAAATCGATGATTCAGATCCGAAAACGAATGAATAATATCCCATGTACATAAATAATCAAAGATTTCTCGATAGATTTCATTGGGCAGATCATCAAAACAAGTACAAGTTGTCGATTGATCTAATCAGCCGATAGATAGCAAAGGGTGTTTCGGAACGAAATATTCATACTTAAACATTCTGTTTCATAAGCACGTTTAAATCGCTTCACAAGTTCCGGCTTTTTCCCATTTGAGTCCAATTGACGCTTTTTCAATTGAGTTCGTATCTGACGATAAGTTAATTGTTCGATAAAATTTATTTGAGAAGAAAACATAGCTAAATGCAAATGAGAGTTCGTTGTGTTTCTCTGAGCAAACAAAACAAAATCAGCATGTGTTAGAATGTATTTCGAAAAGAAAACTTGTTTAACTGAACAAGAAACATCAAAATGTTGTACTTTGTTGAATATGTATCATGTGGCGTAAATAAGAAGCAGATAAGAAATAGTTAGTCAGTTTTTGTGGTAAACAACCTGGACAAGGAGGAACAAATGCACGCACACACACGCCCTCAACTAGAAAGTATAAATAACAGAGCAACAGATGGAATGAAAGAAAGAGAAAAAAATGAGTAAAATGATAACAAAGCGAAACCAAAAAAATGAAAATCGTCAACAGATATTCTAGGCGAAGAATTCAGCGAGAATTTCCTATTCGTTTAGAGTTCGTCTTCGACAGTCTTCTTGCTCTTCTTATTTCCACTACGATCATAGTTAGTAAGAGGATCAGTGGATTCTTTCGCCAAATATTTGATGAAATCATCGACTTCTCGACCACCCTGAAAAATGTTATTCTTTAAATTGATGAATAATAGTGAAAATAACAATCAAACCTCATATCTGCGTGGATTTTTCTTGTTATTTTTAGGAGCGAAATAGATGGTTGGAAAACCTTGAACTTCATATTGACTTGGAACGTCATTTTCCGTGGCATCCATCTTAGCACTAAACGAAAAATTTCATTGTGACAAATGCTCATGGAACCACTCGATCTTACATGACAATGCTGGATTCTTTCTTCAATTTCTTGGCTAATTCATCATATTTAGGAGCAAGTGATTTACTAAAACGAAAGTTTTTCTTTTTTTTTGCAATACGTAAATGTTGAATCTTACCAATGACCACACCTAAGAAAAACAAAGAGATCGATATAAGTCAAGTTTGATAATACTAGCAAATATCTCTTACCATGGTGCATAGAATTCGATTAAAACATCTTTTGTTTCATCGTTTACAATGTCATCGAAATTCTTGGCAACAACAACTTTGACATCTCCAGTTTGATCTGGAATAGGTTGTGATTTCAAGTATGGTTCAAGTTCGCCGTTGACTAATTTGCGAGCAAATTCTTCGATAGCTTCGTAACTGAAATCTCCTGACATTTTGTATTTTTCATCACGTGGTCCACGGCCAAGAACGTATTTGCCATCTTTTTTCACATCATCAACACCGAATTCGCTTAATTCTTGACGGAATTCTTCGGCATTGCTAACAGCAAAACGAACTTTCACGTTTTCATCGGCTAATTTCTTGGCGACTTTCAAGATACGATTACGAACGTAATTTGTACCTTTGGTATCACGGACATAGTCCACATTGTAATAGACAACAACACTCGGTCGGGAATAATCACCAAGATTTGATGGAGTACGATGACCGACAAGACCATGACTAGAACGAGATGGAGTTTTAGAATTCGAAAGAGAAATTAAGATAAGTGTACATTTTATCTTGAATGAACGATTTGATTTTATCACCGGCAGCTTCAACAATTGAAAAGGCTTCTTCGAATTTCGATTGTAATCGTTTTGGTTGATGGACAACAATTTTACTAAATAGATAATTAGTACATACAAAAACCAATGCAGAAGACAAGCTGTTCGTACTTGGTATGACCGACTTTTTCGAGAACTTCTTTAGCTGTTGTGTAAGCAAATCGGAATTTTTCTGACAATTGATCGGCAACTCGAACAAGGTCATTTTTCAATGAATGTGAATCACTATCAAAGTAACCTATGATAAACAAAATCTTGTCAACGTTTGCCTATTCGCCAGTTCCTATCGATGCATACCGATGATGCTATGATCGTTGTGTTCTAAGAATTTCTCATAAGCAGCTAATGTGTCGAGAACACGGTATGATGGACCGGCTTTTGATCGCATTGTTGAAACAATACCATCTAAGAAAATTTCAATGCAAATTCAATCGTTTCTTTTGCTTTTTAACATACCGGCTTCACGTGGACCATTATAATCTTCGGAGACTTCACCATTCTTAAAGATTTTCAATGCTAACGAAGAAACCCCGTATTATCAACAAGACTTTTCAGGTAAATAAGTATAGCATACTTGGATAACCGCTAACACCGTATTTGCTACATATTTTTGTTTCAACGGTACAATCAACCTTCAAAGTCAGGTAAGTTGTTTTTCATTGAAAACAAACCTATTGTACTTACTTTAGCCAAAGCCACAGGTGGATCATTCTTAACTAGGGCTGTTGCAGCCTTTTCATACTCTGGAGCAAGTCGTTTGCCTAATCAGGAAGAAGATGATTTCGACCTGATGACAGAGAGAGAGAGAAGAAGAACTTACAGTGACCACACCAAGGTGCATAGAATTCCGCAAGTAAGATGTCGTGTTGTTTCACTTTGCTTTCGAAATCACTATCAGTGAAAACGAGTACATCACTTGCTGATGAAAGTGTCGCACAAGCGATGATGAGAGCGATATAGAGAACAGAGTGCATCTTTTGTTCGTTTGTAGAACAATCTGATCTAGAAGAATATGATCAGAGAATTGTACAAATGTGTAAAGTAAAGGGAAAAGGAGTGACGAGGTAATCTGATCGTTCTCTTTCATACTTAAATATTTCTATCAATAGGAATGCAGCATCTGGCCAGCGAATATACACAACGAAAGAAAGGAGTAGGTTTGTAGACTTGGAGATGCTCCATTGGATCGATTATACTTTCCAACTATTTCAAGTAGAATTACGATGTTTAGTGATAAATTTTGATTTTAGTAGAAAATTTATATTTTTTTACATGAATTGAGATGATTTTTCTCTTGACGTTTAGTATAGAGGTCACCTGAAGTGATATGATTGGTAAGTTCGATAGCCACAGATTGTCTAAGCCGAACTAGGTAAGAGAGAAGAGAGAGTGAGAGGACGAGATATCAGTTATCTACCATCAAAGCCATTCATTAGAGATGTTATCTCAATTTCAAAGCCAATTATTTCAATTACCACTAATTTCAAGTACATGGACGTGGATTGGACATCGATATCAACATGTAAAAGAAAATTCTCTATTTCCAATACGTTTGTTGTTAACAATCGTTGAACAAACGATTTTATTAGTGTATAGAAATCTAATTCGACCTTTGCCCCAGCCATATCATTCTCTTTGTAAGTCATATTTCATTTTTCTCGTCATACACAGAGTCAAATGGTTTCTTCTAGTAAATAGTTTGGATAATTTTCTCTGTTCACATGTCACTTCACTTCAATATTTCTTTCCAATTGTTAATCAAACATTTGATGAAGTAACCAACTCTTATGGCGACTTATTTTCGCTTTCAATATTCACGAACGGTTCAAAATCAGTACCTGTAGATAGTACACCTAATGTGATAACGAATATCCGTCGAGAGAGAAAATCATTGAAGTTATTTGACAGATATTTTCAATTCTTGACGGATATTCTGATGTCAATTGAAATCTATTCTAAATCAATTGAAAATGAATTAACTGATTATATCGATACAAGTCGTAATCTTTGGAAAAACTTAAATATGGAAGATGGACGGTCCTTAGACGAAGTTGAAGTAGGTAGTGCCTTTTTAATTAAACCTATTTGTCTCATGCTATGTGTTATTAAGTCATTTCCAGAGAAATTATTAGTTCTTGGTCGTCGTATGACTGGAAACTATCGCCAACTTGTATATCTCATCGGTTATCAATTCAAACGATGTCGGTATATTCTATTCTCATGTTTATATGTTCACAATCGATTTCAATCGACCGCTTGGCGTATTACACGCAAGGTATTTGCTCATTTCATTCACACGAGATTTCTCCACTTCATCTTAGATTCAAATGAAACAAATCAATCAAAAATTGAATGATGGTGCAAGACATGGATTACTCAGCTCAAAACAACGTGTACATTACTATTTGGAAATGATGATGTTACATGCAGCTAGACATCCCTGGATGAGATGGTTAACAGTGAGTGTCGATCTGTCATCACGTATTTTCCTTATTTTAATAACTTAGCCACAAACAAGTGAATCATGTGAACCGGAGGTTTGTAGATCGATTTTGTAAACTCGAAATTACTTTGAGGGTTTAGCTTTCGAAACCTTTGGAATGTATTCGGCCGATTTTTTTCGTTCCTTCGGATCATACGTCAGACTATAGTGGATCTGAAGAAAATCTTCGTGATCATTATCCGAAACGTTTTGAATCAACACCCTACCGACGAAATGTCAAACCAATCAATGTCATTCAATCGAAACAAGCAGTTGAAGATGTTCTATCAAACATCTCTTCCACATCATCGACTATATCCGAACAAAGTTTCGATGTAAAAGATATTCTTCGACAAGTAAAACCGTTTTCAACAAACGCGAAGAAATACTCTTTTTTTCTCTCCAAAGGTTGGTTCACAGACGCACCCAACAATAGACTCAACTCCTTCCACTGACGAAGACAACCAAACTGAAATCATCGAACAAGCATTCAATGATGATCACGATCAACAACAGCAGCAGCAATCGATTTCAGTGTTTGATCTTTCTCCAATGCTTGCAAGTGGTTGTGCTGTTTAGTACAGAAAAGAAAAACAACACACTGTTTATTGGAAAAAAATTCCTGACGAACTTTCATTTTATATAAACGAGGAAATTTATTGTCTGTTTATACTTGAATCAAAATCATTGATAGGTATTCCGTCTGAAAACACGAATGGAAATGTTTGTAAGAAATGATCGGGTACAAAGATTTCGACGTCAATCAATCGAAAGTTTATGCGACAAAACAAATTGTTTTTCACTTCTCTCATCCGATGAAATTGAGTAAAGAAAAGCAACTTGAAATAAGTATTTTTCGATTAGTGACAAGCGAGAAAAGCTTAAGAGTGCTCCTTTGTTGATCATCGCGAAAAAAGCTGTTTTATTTTTCTCTTTCTCATGCATTAATCCAGAGAAAACGTTTCTTGTGTTCACTGATCGTCTTGCCACACGAATCTTTTTGCGAATTTAACGACAAAAAAAACTTAGAATCATGCGGGAGCCAATGCCAGTCTTGGCATTGTCAAATCGACAACGTTTACCTGTGAATCCGTCTAAACAAATTCCACTTCCTGATTCATTTGTTCAATCGAATAAATCCAAACGTTGGCGATTCTATGAGGAGTCTCTTCAAGATATGAAGGCAACCGGGAAATCGGTGTTTCCACACTCAGGCGGTAACTATATTGTCGATTTTTCTCTCACTGCAAGTGATCGAGATATCAACTATGATCAACAACCGGTAAAGCGTCGACGAAAACGACCAACATATCGCCAATCGATCTACCATTCACTACTAACAATGCCAGCTCCAATTGAACTCTCCAGTATATCTGCTCGTGGACGAGCACCGGAAGTTCCAATAACGATGCCGCCGGTGAGAATACCTGACCCTCCAAGTGTCTATCAACATAATGCACCACCGCCAACGCCTCAGAACGATGAATCTGAACAATCATCTCGTCAGTTACAAGATAAAACTACAGTTCGTCCGTTTGCACAGAAACTCATGAAAGGAAAAGAGAGACAATCACAATTTCATTTACCTGCAATTAATCTGTCTGTTTTATCACGACAGGAACCAAAGAAACTGTCGGCGAAAGAAGTTCGATCAACTCTATCGAATTATTTGCAAAATTTCTATTGAACAATCAACGAATCTGTATAAATTCCTTTTCTTGTTATTTACCACTCTCATATAGCTTATCATGTATAGAATTCGTCCTATCAAATGAATCGACAACGGATTCGAATGTTAATGAGCGCTTGAGAAATTTTTCACTTTAAATTTATCTTGATATTCAATGATGTCAAATGAACTAATGTAAATATCGTGATGAAAAAAGAGATATGCAACAAATCGAAATAATAAATTTCAGCATAAAAGGTTAATTCTTCGATCGATGATGATTGAATATAGTTGGATATGGACGGTTCACCTTTTCTCCCCATTGACTAGGATCTGGATAAAATGTCAGATTCCATTTCTTCGCCACTAGACTCAATGTAGATTGATCGTGACGATGTGCACGAAAATCAGGATAATTCGATGATCCGAGTTCATTCTCGTCGTCTGTAATCACTCGATGGTCTTGTGCATACGTCAACCATTCGGATATGAATCGCAGACTACTAAAGCTTCTTTTTACCACAAGATAAGAAGCAATTCCCGCCTGTGTTTTTGTATACTCTGGTTTATCAGCATCGAGAATAATCAACGCATCACGTTTGGTAAACATTGATTCCTAGTAAATACAAACGATACGATACGAATGCATATTGAGTTCCAAAAGGTGAATGAATGTGTGTCTTACCTTCCAATCAGCTAATTCGAAAAGGACAATGTCTTGTTTCGACGTCAGTTTTGTTAAGTGGGAAATATCATTGGTAAAATTAACTGCAGCATCTGAATATACGATTATATCTCCGTCTCGTGCTAGATAAAGCTCCTGGAGGATTATGTATGGTTTCCATAGCCAATAGCCAGCTCCTCTCTGCCGATCTAGAATATTTTTGTTTCGATTGACAAATCCAGGATCAGCATCCAAAATCTTCTTATTCAGCATCAAACATTGTTGAATTCCGTGTTTCAAACCTGTCAAACAGTTGTTTTTTTGCGCAAGCAGACAACATTGATGGCCGAAATTAATCAGCAGTGGATAACAACGTTCTCGATCTGTTGTAGTCGGATAACTATGGATCCGACGACATAAAGAAGAAGAATCATTTTGAGATCGCACAAGCGTTGGCTCCTGTACCGGATTGTCTTTCAACACAACTTTCCATGTACAAACGAGTCCGGTGATGAAGATGATGAAAATAATTGTAATTTTTGCAGGACGAGAAGTTCGTATGGAAGTAGATCCATGTCCAAAGGGTTTTGTATACGTGCCGGATGGCGGCAACCACTTTTCACGCGATTCATTCTCGTGCATGGTAGAATTCGGTGTCTAATTTAATGAACTTCGTTTAGAAAGAACACAAGAATTTCTTTTGTATACGATACTCGTCATCGTAGACAGATATATATATATATATATGTATATCATGGATTCCAATAAGAATTTGATTGGACTTTGAAAGACAATCATTTTTCTTCTGACCGTCGTCGCATTCATCAAACAAAATGTGAAGAAGTTACAACTGACTTTACACTCTTGATTGAGTTTCAATAGATAGTCTACATATAATGGAATGATTTCATGAGCAAAAATTTTCTTAAAAACAAAACTTGATGATATATATTGATAAGTAAAAAAGGATATTGAAATCACTAAAAACAATCATTATATAGTCTGTAGTTTATAATCCATCAGAGAGACAGAGAGATAATTGAGATAATCACTTGAGAAAATTGCTTATCTTATTCTATGTGCTCGTTTGTACTTCATTTTGCCAATGATCAGGATGTTCAGTATACCATTTGATTGTCATCCGAATACCATCATCGAACTTGACCTCTTGTTTCCAGCCTAAACTTTCTAATGCGTCAATCATAACCGAATAACGACAATCATTGAAATATCGATCCTTGACGTGAATGATCGAATCTTCGAGTTTGACGTCTGGCTTCATAATTTTCAGAAGAATCGCCGCAATTTCCATAACTTTGATCTCATCTTTCGAACCAATATTATAGATCATCTTTGTTTTACCTTTACGAAGAATTAAATCCACAGCACGAACTGTATCCGTGACGTAAATAAAATTGCGAACTTGTTTTCCATCACCATGTATTGTCATTTTCTCATTAGCCATTATTGTTGTAATAAATCGTGGAATAACTTTCTCAGGAAATTGATACGGACCGTAAACATTATTGCCACGAGTTATAACATATGGCAATTTGAAACTTTCGCCATAAGATTTCACAAGAAACTCTGCAGCAGCTTTCGTTGCTGCATACGGATTTGTAGGATTCAGCACTGCGGTCTCATGACAACTACCTACATGAAATGAGTAACTTGATATTTGTTTTGATGAGATTGTTTCATCTTACCTGCTGGCCATTCGCCGTAAACTTCATCAGTACTGATATGAATGAATTTGCGAAGTTTATTGTAAATTCGACTTGCTTCCAACAAACAATGTGTACCGAATATGTTCGATTCAGTAAAAAGTATACTGTTGCCAAATGATGTGTCCACATGTGTTTGTGCTAAATGAAAGAACCAATGAAGAGAAAGTCATCATTTAACGAAATTTTTACCAGCAAAATGAACTACATGTGTAATGTCGTACTGTTTCATCAAATGTAACATTAAATCTTTATTATTGATACTCGCAACGACTAATTTATATTTCGGCGAGTTCGGTTGTTCAACATTGCCTATATTCGAGCATGTGTCGAGTTTATCGACGTTGATAACAGAATCTTCGGGATATGTTCTCAGCCAATGATTGACAAAGTTACTACCAATAAATCCGCAACCACCAGTAACGAGCAAACGTCGTGTTTCGCTCGATTCTTGGCTACTGCTTGATTTGAGATTCGCACGATGAATGCAAATATTTTCGATACTTGTTTTGAGATCCGGCAATAAATGTGGTGTGTAATAGAGTTTACGTGTTTCAGGTGATAACAATTTCATCCATTGTTCGAGTTTATCGGATGATAAAACATTATTTGAACGACGAGCAGCTAATCGAGCATTTTGATCTTCGACCGGTTCCAATATATAATCAAGAGGTTCACCTGTTTTTTCTTGGTAAGTTTTAAGAATCCAGTCATGATCGACCCTATGTGACAAAAAAAATAAGATGTTTTTCTATTAAAATTTTATTGAACACTAACCATCCTTTGTTGCAAGCATTAACACGACCACCAAGTTTGCCGTCATGCGTTAATGCCAAAAGAATTGGTAATATATCTGACATGACTGTCATGCTGTTTGGTAACGAGGTGATTTTTTTATAATTCAGAATTTTTGTAATAAAATCACGTGAATTTGGATCATCAGATATTGGCATTCGAATGCGAGCACTACAATCGAAGATAACATACGACAGAGACAAGAAAAATAAAGATGTTTTACTTGATCACATGCGGATATGCATCGATTAATAAGTCAGTTGCACCTTTAACAGTTGAATATGCTGAACCACAGAAATTTGGATGATCATTTTCAGTAAACGGATGACTTAAATCAGTTGGATTAGCATATTCATAAATACACCCTGTACCAATGTACAACGTAGGTATCGGTGCAGCTAATTTTGAATATTGCATCGATGCCTGAGCGATAAACATGGGTGCCAATAGATTATCACGAATATTATCTTTAAGTTTACCCGGCTTTTCTAAATAATCAATGTTTGGAATGCCTTCACCATGTGTACGGCCGAGAGAACATATAATACGATCAGGTTTATACGTCAGAATATCTTCTTCGACATCTTTCAGAGATGCCACACGTCGACCTGATACTACTTTTTGACCAGCAACGTTGAGCAGGTCTCGGCATTGTCCTCCAATCCAACCTGCTGAGCCATATATTAACCAGAGCATGTTCTGAAACGAAATTTCATCGATTTCTTTTATTAAAAAAATTCGATTTCAAAGGTTTCCCTTCGAATTACACAATCAGAGAAAATCAATTGCCTTCAATTCTCCAAACTGATACGACTATCGGATAGCCTTGTACTATTCTACAGATAGGTATGCAATGAAGGAGAATGTTTCCTGTCATATTGAATGATTACGTCTACAAAATACAATGTACATGCGCCCCATTTCGGCCAGCTAGAAACGACAGTATTGACGTTGTGATTTTTTTCTCGTTTGTATACTCGTCGGCTTTTTTTCGTCTTTCTTTATCATGATTGCGTTGTGACACGCAAAGGAAGACAAGAAGAAATGAACGAAAAATCGAATCGTGTAGAAAAAAAATCAACAGAGCGTGGATCACTAAAAGCATGACTTTTCTCGCCATTCATTCCACCTGGGAAGAAGTAAATACAAAAAAAAAAGAAAAATTACAACGAGAATTAGATGAAAGAATCAATTCTCGTCCTAATTCGATTCTACTTACTATGCCTAATACCGTTTATCAACTATGTTTATACATATTCTACGATCGATTCTATCCCCTGTCGACAAATTTTCTTCGTACTTCAAGAAACATTTTTTCCTCATGTAATAGTTTAGAATAGTCTAAGAGAATGCATCTTTTCTCACTCAATTCTATCAACTAAATAAAGAAAAAAAAAACTTGCAGACGAGAAGAGAAAGTGTGGCAGTAGTAGCCAGGTTTAGTTTCTTTTTTTTCTTCTCTTCTGCTCGCGCAGTTCTGTAAGTCTTCAAATATAAGGCAGCACAGCGTAATTATACAACCTAGTATAAGACGGCTTTTTCCTGTTCTTTTTTTTCACTGTTGAACTGTGTCATCGAAGAGAAAATGGCCGACGTCAAATATTAACTGAACATGTGTCAAAACGTGAGAGAAAAAGTAGCCATCTCAAGACATGAACGTCTATCAATAACATGATATTTAAACGCTATTCTCCATTTACAATCTGAAAAGTTTTTTTTATTTTCAATAATAAAACTTTACGGGGATATATGCACAACAATATCGAATAATCGATACTCAGAATAAATAAATCTCGTCTGCACCCATCTTGATCAGAATCAATCGTGACACTAAGACTGTATATTTATCAAAGTGTACCGACATAAATGTTTACACTCATCCAGTTCCTACTGTTTCGTTAGTTTAATTCTTGGAAATTTCGTATTATTGAAATTAACACACGGTTCTTGATAACTCTGTGACAGTTGATTCGATCGTCTTTCTTCATATTCTTGATTGTGACGTCGATGTCGTACACAAGGTAAATGGTCCTTGGCATAACGCTCCTCACTTAAACAACGGTAATATCTGCCTATGGAACTGTAGGTATTCATTGATGAGCCATTTATATGGCTATCCTGACGAAATTTCATTTGCATACCATAATGAATATCAAATATCGAAAGACATCGATCGATTTGCTTTTTTTCTTGTTTTTTCCGTTGTTGAATTATATTTAGAAATGAAGCTCGTTGAAGTACATTCGATTTCGCTAAATAAATTTGAATATTTTCATTCAAAAGCAACGATTGATCAGTCCATTGTTTCTCCTTTGGCGTGTTCGATACACATTTCTCGGAAGTGCAACATTGTCCACTCTAAATATCCAAACTATGATGATTTATCTGCGAATATAAACAAAGATAATAAACCTCATTGTTATCAGGTGAATCTTTTGGGACAACATTAATGTCTTCATTGAGAATATCATTAGGTGATGCGGTGTAAATCCATCCGTCGCCAATTCTTGCCATTTGAAAGAAATTTGTTTTGTATTTCAACGTTTGATCGACATTTATATCCAGACATTTGTTTGTTCTTTTTCAAATGGAATTATTTCAAATAGACAATAGACAACTTGTTGAAATAGTCTCTCAATGATAGTATCAGAAGTCAGAAGTGTTGTAAAAACAACCTTTTCTTCCAAATACGTGCACTTGCCGTTAAAAAGAAAAAGTCAGGTGAATGTATGGTAAGTCTTTATGTGTGTTACATAAGTAATAGGTCCCCGAGTGAAGTATTCTGTGTACTCGATAGAATAATTTCGAGACTTGTCAAATGAGGTTAAGATTAAATGCAGCTATTGTGTGACTTTATACATGAATGCAAAACTTAATGAATGCAAGATCATAAATGAGTTCATGTCACGTAGAATTCGTTGAAATGATCAAGTGCATTATGATCATGAAGTCTTTCAGTTTATTATTACCACATAAGAATTAGTCCTCGATAAATATTCCATCCAAATCCGGTAGCCAGATGATTTATTTTGAATTGTCCTTGACATTATACAGATATCATGATATTGAATAGTGATAGAAAATGAGAACTAACAGTTAAAGTGCAAAGAATGTCAGAACGACAAGCACTGCTCGATATTAATAAGTAGATTGTTCAGAATGTTTCGATCTTTATTCACTATTTAAACAAAGCATAGTAAACTTGACGAATTCCAACGTAAATATACATTTGTATATCGGAATGTGATAGAAGAATTCCAACCAATGGGGTCAACCTGTTCACGTAAGCTGTGACCAGCAGTATAAGTCAAATAAACTTTTCCCATGGCTTTATTTGAGCGTTTCCGACGTACTGCTTAACTTTTATGAGTAGATAAAGGATTTCATCAAACAGAAATATAAGACCGATTAGCATTAAGTTAACAAACACAATAAGAATGGTTATTAATGCCTAGAGACTAAACAGTAATGACGTAGTTCTACTCAACTACAAAACAATCTTGTCAGAGTCCTCAAGGAATAAGTCTCATAATCGGTTTCACATATATTGTCGATGTTTTTAACAAACACAAGTGTTTCTGTACGAATTATATTTCTCGGGTAAACTTCAGATCGGTGGGTGTAATCTTCCGACACAAACAGAAGCAGGCTTTTTCTGTACCGCTCTTTTTGATCTGACCATTCACAGGAAAGCTTTAACTACGAAATAATGAGTTCAACTATGCGATCGCTATATCAAAGAGGGAAAATACGAGGTATTACCTTAAACTAGTAAAATTTGTACCACGCTCATGTTCCCGTAATTAAACTATTTCCTCGTCAGTTGTATCTTTCGTATCGTTATCAATTATGTTTGTTGCTAATTCATGTTTTTTTCATGCGAAATAAATCAAATATAAGTAATATAAAATGTGCCTAAAGAGTATCTCTGGCTTCAAAGTTGCGGCTATAACCGTCGATAGATGAAAGCAGTTTACTAATAAACAGGTTAGTATGCCATGCATGAGAAAAGTATGTTAAATGGCGCCATGTGAAGCTGAAATAAATTAGCTACAGATTTTTTTATGCGATAAAAGATGTCATTCGAAAGGATAGTATTGTTGCCAGGTAGATAAATTCTTTCTTTCTCATTTTAGCTTGAAAAGCTTCTTACTGAACATAATAGATATACAGTACCCATGTAATTTTACGGAAGAAACGTTCCGGGTCAAACTATTCATACGCTTTCCTAGTGTTATTTGAGAAACTCAAACTCCCACTGAGTAGTGAGATGTTGAAATCGATTGGACTAGCCTAATAGTTTCCTCATTAAGAAAACTTCTTCCAGTTTCATATGAGTATATAAAATATTTCTGATAGAACCTGTGACTTTTGTCAGTATTTCAAGTTGATTTCACTCGCTTCCAAACACCTCGCTCGTTGTCGTCGAATAGATTCTTTTAAATGACTTTCTAAGTCTATTAATAATCAAGAGTAATTGAAAAATCAGCGCATATGCCTCGTGTGACAAACAAATGACTTATATAACTCCAATTACTATGGCAAACATTTTATTATCAGCGGCTTTCCCTTTGAATCGCATTTTATTTGATATATACTCATGAGTTCAATGATATAATTGCAATTTGTCAAGCGAGACATCCACGTTTTCGAAATAATATGCCATTTAAGCAGGTAAAAGATGTGTTATCGTAGATATTCAATGTAATCATTAAGGGTTAGTTTTGACTCCGGACAAGAAAAAAGACTTTTGATCTTAAATATCTTTGACTATTTCTCATCCGTCGGAAAGTGCAGGTGTCCTTCATCGGAAGTTCATAATAATTCCAACGTGCAATCGTTATATATTTCTATTGCGACGAACCGGTGTCATTAATGTTCAAATGTCACTAACTTATATCATCGTTTGCTTGCAGGGTGTGTTTTTCTTTCATCACTACGATAATATGAAAAATACTTTTGGATAGTATCGTGATAAAATCATCTGAGACCGACAAATCGAAGTCGACGGATAGTGTTGATAGGCTCGTTTGCTGCTTTCTACGATCATATCTTTTCTTTGATTATCTAACTTTGCTCCTAGAAGAATGAAAAGCAAATGAGTTTGGATTAGGGTAGGTGCTATTATGAAAGAGATCGATTCGTGTTGATTTGTCGAAAGGAGGTCGCAATGATATCGAATGAGTAAAATGTAATCAATCATGTTAGAAGAAATTGTTGACATTCGATTCTTTTCCTATCGGAGGTAAGATATTTATTATTTCGAAAAGAGCAGACTGCAATGAGCAAATCGAATAATAATCATAGACGATGATGATTGATGAAGAACTATTTCTGATTGTGCCAGATTTCCTTATGTTTGACCATGAAGGAACATATCATTTTCTCATGTTTTTTTTTCTTCGAACTGTTCTCTTTAATCTACAAAGGGTTTTCCTGACGATTTGATGTGATAAATACAATATGTTAGGTATCTTTTTTTCATTTCCTGAGTAGAACTCTAGCTGAAAAATAATGTAAATGAAGTCTTTTATTCACTATATTTGTAGTTTACTACGATTTCATCTGAGTATATGGCGAGATGCGCTTATTTACGATATATATGTATATATAACCCTGCATTAAGTGTCTGTCAAATGAAAGATGATCAGAGTTTGTTTTTGAGTACCGAAAAACAGAAGTGTCAACTGTTATTTTTATTGTTCATCGTTTTTTTATTTTAGAAAATTGACAAATTGGTCTTTTGTCTTTTTTTTCTTTTCATATAATATAAGTTAACGATGAGCTGTCGGATGCTAATAGTCTTGGGAGAGAAGGAGAGAAGAGAAAAGGAAAAGAGAGAAATGGTGAAACAAGAAGGAGAGGAGAGAAAGAGAAGTTTTTCGATAGAAATGATGTTCTGCGACAAGCAAAATATCTAAAATGACAAAAACATCAAGCTCATCAGATCGATCTGGTGATAGTTTGATCTTTTTTACTCTGAAGTGAAGCTAACGCGACACATATTCTTGACATTAATCAGATTATTCCTAAAGAACTCCAACTTCTTATTTTATAGTATTTCTCTGACGAAATTTCCAAAAGATATGTCCGCTGTCTTTCGGACCATCACATTATTACTTTTTCTTTCCGTGTACATCATTGGTCTGATTGGGAACGGTCTTCTAATCTGTAAGTGTGAATTGTCGATCAAATTTTCTATCCAAAACAAGTTTTCTTTGCTTTTAGTTATTGTATTTCGACAGAAAAATCTTCGTACTGTTCCCAATTTACTTGTTGTTAGTTTAGCGCTTGGCGATTTCTTATTTGTTTTATTTTGTGTACCATTTGGGGCCGTTGCTTATTCATTAGAATATTATCCGTTTTCAACATTTTATTGTCGTTTCGAGAATTTCATTATTAATCTCTCGTTGGGCGTCTCTGTCTTTTCTCTCTTAGCATTGAGTGCTGACCGATACAAAATCATCGTGAAACCATTCTCTAGTCATGCCAATGATCCATCAATTAAATTGAAAACAATCGTTATATCAATATGGGTCTTATCAACGATTCTCGCCTTACCCGAGACAATCTACAGTGGTAAGTTTTTCTCTTTTTCACATAGACAAAAGAATAGAGATGAATCAAGTAGATGTCCGATACTTGAGATTAATTGAAATTGTACAACGTTATTGTTTCAGGTCTTATTACCGAAACATTTCAGCAAGAAAATAATCAGACAGTGGAATTGATTTATTGTTGGAGTCCAAATGAAAGTGACCTACTGGCCAATCATATATTTATGATCTCACGGCAAATTTTACGTGTAGTTATTTACTATATCATGCCGTTGATATTCGTTTCGGTCTTTTATATTCTAATTGCTAAGCATTTATTTCAAACTAAGCATATGATTGTTACTCAGACGACAACACGGCCATTACTTAATGACCTGACTAAAACGAAACGATGCGTTCCAAGCGGAAGATTATCCAAACCAACATACAATGGTGGCATTCAAGAACAACAACGCCATAGTGAGATAAATAATAATTATAAAAAGAAAACAACGTCACGTTCGTTACAACTTGACAATGATGATCTCAAGAGTACCCAGAATTCATCATCATCTTCATCAGCAGTGACAAGTAATATTCGACGGGCTCGCGACCTGTCCTTGGGAAATTCAACAATAAATAATAATATGATTCTTCATACTCTATATCAAGATGTCAAATCTCGAAAGCAATTACGCGCACGACATAAAGTAGCGAAAACCGTTCTCTTTTTATGCACTGTCTTTTTCATATGTTGGTTACCGAAACAAATACATGATTTATATTGGTAAGTTGAAAAGGAGAACAAGTATAGGAAAATTCTCCTTTATATTTGATAGGTTTATCGGCGTCATTGTTTATTCTGCACGTTGGAATCATTTCTGGCAATTCAATAAAACTCTAGCACTTATCTTTTCTTATACTTATTCATGTATTAACCCATTTGCACTTTATTTTCTTTCTTCGACATTCCGACATTTTTACAAACGTTATCTTTGTTTTTGGACGAACTCACCTTGTTGCTCAACGAAGTGTCGTCTTGATGATATTCATCAGCGCCGACGAACAGGTGACATGGGTACAGTTAGTGAATATCAACATCGTTCATCGGCAAATAATGTCACAGGAATTTATTATGATTTAAATCGAACAAGGAACTCCACTTTGTATCCAACACAGCAAAGTCCGATTCGAATGCATCGTTATACCTTGTCGGATGGCATATCGAGCGAAAGTGGATATCACCAAACTGATATCAATCATCAACGATCGTCCTCGCCGAATTGAACAATTCACTCATCGTCTGTTCATCATTTACCGGTGATTATGTACAACCATCTGTTGTCATTTAGATTCATCATCATATTCATATATTTGTTTGTATGTTCTCATGTACATTTGTCTTGTTCCATTTTGATGTTGAATGGTTAAGTGCTTGTCTACATGATCTGAACGCTAAATATAGGATAGCACGTTCGGTTTAATTCAAGTTTTCTTCGTTCTGTCTAATTCGCTGAAGACTTGTAAACTGGAATTATTCATAAGAATAAATTAACGAAAAACATATGTGCGAATGAAAAAATAGACCAGCGAGGATTGTTTTCATGAACGAGTTTTATCATCAGTCTTATGATGCTATTTGAGATCATTCAATTGTGCGATAATGGTGATCTTTCCAAGGGTGTTATTTGTTATGTTGTTCTCAAATGGCTGTACTTCCACGCTGAACAATGATGTACCAATTGACTTGAGGTACTGAGTACAAGACTTCATGCTGACTTAGGTCATAGAAATATCCTGAACAATTATTTCCTTCGAATAAAAAGTTTTAGACACAAGGATTTCCTCTGTCACGTTTTGCGTCGAATTTATCATCGATACGATGATTTTTTTTTCAACAACACTCTAGTATTTCATCTAATCACTTTCTGCAATATGCGATTTTTATCTCCATTGTATTGTCAATATCGCGCGAGATTTATCATCCATCAATATCTAAAGCTAACTGTCAGATAGCCAATCCTCGAAGAAGTCTTATTCTATTGATATATTTATGAACAAGCAGTTGATAGAAGTTCCACAAAGTCTTCTTAAGCTATAGGCACGTAGGTTTGCACTTGACGGGCGATGAAATCGATTCGAATGCGTCATTCCATGTTTCTATTTTGTCGAAAAGCTTTGAACACAATTGCAGTAATTTAAACGCGTAGTACGAACGTTAAATATTGCACGTAGTCGGACTCAGTGAAGTGTTTCTTTAGTACAAAGTCATGAATCATCTATCAAATGACGTTTCTACTCCTTGATACACATAGATGGAGTGGCACCATTCGTCGTGTTCATCCCTGGACTGGTACATCCTGCATCTCGTGGCGATTATTTTGTCGAATCTTAATATAAAAAGTCTGTCAACTATCCATTATAATAATTGATTATCCATTTTAATAATAAGCCAACAACGCAGGTATATCATTTACTATTGAATCAAACACATTGCTGTCTATGATGTACTATAATTTTTAGAAATAAACAATGTAAGAGTCTCGGAGTAGAACGACACTATTAGAATCACAGAAGATAATGTTGTTTTGTCTTTCAAATTCAATTTGAAAAAATATAAATGTATTTTAAGCAGTCATATGTTTTCTGTCAACACGGATGTTTTGTCACAAAAGTATAACAGATTTTTTGGACAATTTATCAGTATTAAATGGTTATCATTTTGAGACATCTTGTCAACGCGATAAATCAAAAATGTATTGTCAGATTCTGACTTTCTTCTCTCAATTATTAAAACTATTGCAAAAGTGCGAAAATATCCTACTGAAAATATATCTTCTTGAATCATTGTAGAAAAACCGCACAATTGAATTCAATACCGATGAGTATCCAAATAATCAGGAAATCTATGCGAAGGACGGGAATGGATAAGCAATGGGAGATGAGCCACGGTGAGTTTATCAGAAATTCATTGATAATCTATCTTGAAGAAGCAAAATAAGCTTTGTAGGAAGGAATTGAGTGAGAATTACGCAAATTGGACATCTCTTTCAGATGAAAATATTGCAGGGATATTTTGCAAAAAACTGTGACCCATCAGATCGAATTTATTATCTATATTTACTTTTTATGATATTCTTATTAACCTATTATTCAAGAATATTCATTTTCAATTGGCAGGGAATTCAATTCTGTCTCATTATATATATATGATACCTATCGATTATTTATGAGATATTTTGATCATTATGGTCTTGTCCGTTTATTAAGCTTTATAAACAGACTTTTATATCCGAGTCAGTCGGATCCTTTTCTTCTGCGAGCAGATTTCTCTTCTATGTCATTCGGTAGAGCAAAGTAAGGATTCCAAACTAGTATATAAATCGTTTCATTCCTGTGTTGGCCCGTACAGTATATGTCGCCCACAATCGTTTTAACTGACAAAACTGTTTTTCATATACGTCAACGGTTTGTCGTTCAGAAAGAATGCCATACTCAGATTTAGCACAAAAGAAAACTGAAACGATCTTTATGGGTTTCAGAGTCAACTGACCGCTCCTTCTCTTAAGAATAAATATTTTCAAATATTAAACTGTTAAGAATAAAGGGAAAAGTAATTAAGGTTAATAAAAGCTGTGCTTTATGAATCACAAAATTTTCACGGTATTTTTACGTGAAAGTGACGTTCGATGTACATAATTCTCACTCAATTCGCTTCTACAAAGCTCATTTCACTTTTCTGAAACAGATTATCAATCAATTTGCAGCAAAGTCTCTGTGGTTCATCTCCCATTGCTTATCCGGCCCCCGTCATTTACGTCGCCGTTCAATTCCATTGGCTCTTACTTTAACATTCCTACTTCCTCTGATACTATTCTTCATGAACATCGCTTGCACTTTAAAGCGTTCCATCAATGAATCACTCCGCTCTGATTACGACATGTTAGTATTGGATGTCAACTGCTTTGCTTTTGTCTTAGGCTGACTGTTGATTCAAGCAAATACGAAGAAATGTTAATGTGATTGATAAAATCCTGATTGCTTCAGTTCATTGTCTACTTGTCCATGAAAAAGCCGTACGATCGAAATTCTCCGATCGGATCTTATTGTTGGCATGGATTGATCGCTTTGACCGGTTCTTTTAGTGGAGTTTAGTTATTAAATCAGTTAAACATCGTTTGTGCCGCATACATTTATGATAGTATCCATAAAATCCTAATCGCTTTTGTCGTCATTTCCTATTTTATTGCCTGTCTACCATCCATCACAGGTAGTGAAACTCAGCCGATGAAACAAAGTCACCTGCTAGTCGCGTTTTTCTAGGGAATGAAGATTAATTTAACGCTAGCTGATATTGATCTACAATTCTTCTTTGACGTGAGACTGGATCTGATCGGATGGACTTGTTTAAATCTTTGTTTTCTGCTTCAAACCATGAACTTATACACATACCACCGACTTTTGTTCTCGTCGTTTGTCAACAAATCTTCCAAGCTTTTCAATTAATATGGAATGAAGGCACACATCTTCAAAATAACAAGATGAAAACAGATCCCATTGACTTCTTAAGCGTATTTAGTTGCCTCTGCTGGATTCCATTTCTTTGGTAAATCAAAAGAACCTTTCTAACTTTCTCCAAAACAATTTTTCGTTTAAGCATCTACCTTGACACTTGTGAATTACCCCATCGAACGAATATATCTTCTCGTATCTTTTTACTCTTTCTCATTAGTATCATCATACATCGTAGTACGTATAATCAACGAAAATTCGAACAATTACATAAAAAGAATATTAAATTAATGACGTTTCACGATGGATTTCTTTCATTGACATCAACTTACTCGTCTCTATGTCAACATTTATTTTATCTTGGTTCGTATTTAATTGATGCTTCCAGCAATAAGTTATTCTTTTGTTCTATTTAGCAAACCTAATCATATTGATCTCCTGCGCATTGCCTTGTCGTTCAATGGCTATTCCATGGATCCTACCCATATATAACGGTCTAGTTGATTATCATAAAATTCAACAGAAAGGTTTCCCTTTTCTTTAATAAGATATACTGTAATTGCGAAGACATTAGAAAAGAAAAGGAAAGAAAAGAACTTTCGTATCAAAGTCTCTGCTTGCGTTTATTTTCCTCGAGGGAGCGACAAAGCGAGTCATCAATCGATGATAATGCATTGTTCTCAAGATTATAAAAGAACATTGTTTTAGTGTCTGAAAATATGAAATAACGAAGCAAAACATCGTCACGATCTATTGCATTCCTCGGTGGGTATTAATCTATCGAAGTAAATGTAATTCGAGTAGAAAATACTGCAAAACAAATATAACAGATGCTTCTTAATATATCCGCGTGATGTGTAGATCTATTTAATGTAACTATTCTTATCTTCTTCCAATAGAACAGTTGTATCAATAGGAAATAATGTTTGATTTCTATTTTTTTTCGACATGTTTATTGACGATTCTTAAGTGACAGTCAGCCATAGGAAAAACAGCAGATATCTGCGTCGATGTTTTTCTCGACAAATCATTGCGAATCGCTGATCAGATGTTTTCCTCCACAAACATACGAGCCAATATCAAGTTGTGACTGTCGGGTAGGTTAGAAAGTGTGGAGTAGCATTTCTAATCTATTGATTTCGCTGATCAGAAGTACTCTTTTCTTTGGAACTTACATCGGAAGGGGGCTTTTGTATTGTAATTGTCTGGACAGTTTCGAGTTCTTTCTTTCTTTTTCTGATTTGGTTTTGTTTACATTTGAGGAGAATGAAGCAGAAGGAGAAATACGAGACAGAAAGGAAAAAGGAATCAAAGTAAATTCAATCAGGAAAAATAGCGAGATAGACAGAGAGAGACAGAGACAGTGACGCGATTTCTCATCAAAGCTGTTCCTACCGATAATGATAACGACATTACAAGAGACGCGAAATAGATTGTATTATTTTACGTGGTTTTTTATTAATAACAAGACAAGAAGAGAAGAATAACGAGATGTATATTCGTTGTTTTGGTGTGACACAGTCTAATATTGGTAGATCAAGTATAACACTACGATAATTTCGATTATCTACGTATTTTGTGTTATTTTTCTGTCATCATCGACAACAATAACGATCTGTCATCAGTCTTCTTTCGTCTCTGCTTGATATTCTTTTATATCTCTATTGCAAAATACACTTTGAATTGACAGTGAATTCCCTTGTTGGCAGAAATTAATACCATCGAGTGCCGATTCTTCATTCAACAAATCGAACTTGTCAGATGGGAGACGCGAAAGAAATTATCTCTTTTAGCTTTTTTCTATTTTTGTAATTCAATATAAAAGCTATCGAGATAATAAAAGAATTTTGCCGTAAGATGAGGACAAAACGGCAAATGCATTCATCAATGTCACATATCATTGCGTATGCATACGTGCATTAGAATAATCAGAAGAAATGAGTGTTTTCTCTTTTCTTGCGTTTTTTTTTCTTCTTCTTTTAATTTGATACTTTATCAACAGTAGAAGTGCATACTTTCCTTTTCTCTCACCTGTTTCTTTCGTGAATCATTTGGTTCTTTGACTTGCTTCGATTAACACATTTATTTGACAAAAGGAAACCAACGTCACAAGAATCGCTTCCATCTCCAGAGATTCGTTTGACCTTTTCCTCGTATGTATGTATATAAATAGCTGTTCAGCTCATCTTTGCACTATAGACAAGTCAAAAACGGTCGTTATTTCTGAATTAATGGACCGGAATAGAGACGAGAGTTATCGTGTACATATATTCTTCGTCATTGTATTGCCATTTCTTTCGCTTAGAGACATCTAATAGATTCTGTAGCTTACACATTATTTGACGCTATTCCTTCTCTGTCGATCTTACCTAATGAGGCTTTTCTGTGTTTCTGTTGATCTATCTTGCAGCTTATATTTGTAGAAACATAAAGAACAAAAATGACAGCAACATGTACATTGAAAGAATACGAATTACTCGATGGCACATCCACGCAAAAGTTATTCATTCATGTTACACCAGCTATAATTACTATTGGCTTACTTGGAAACATTCTTACCATGTGTGTATTCATAATCACAGATCTCAAACGACAATCAGTGTCTATTTTAACCATTACCTTAGCGATTGTTGATTCTCTAGTGCTGCTTATACCTGTTTCACTTTTGTGGTTAGAAACTTTATTAAAACGAGAATTAACCGATGCATCACCATTTTGGTGTCGAACGCATGGTAGGTTCTTTGGCACAGACAGGTGATCGGTATGCTTGTTTTTGTCATCTAGGATTTTTTGATCTAACGTTTACGTGCTGCTCGAGTTGGTTGATGGTGTTCATTGCATTTGAACGCTTTTGTGCTGTTTGGCTGCCTCATCAAAATAAAGTTCTATTTACTCATCGAAAAATCTTTTTTCTTGTTCTATCGCTTCTGCTCGTATCAACAATGCTATCAACCTGGTTTATATTTGTCGTGAAAATGGTTACAAAAACACGAACACCTAATTTAACACATACCTCATCATCAATATTTCGTAGTTCTCTAAAGTATGTTTAAATTTTCTCTTGTCTCGGGTACTTCTGTTCTCAAGTAGTCGTTCTCTCAACAGAAATATCACGGAAAACATTCTCTTCTGGCAATCTTGGCCATCGGTATCAGATAATTCGACTTCACCCTACTATGCCAAGTGTGGCGTTTACAATGATAGTCTCTACGATTCGATGGGCATGGTTTCAGTTGTAATCAACTATTTCCTTCCATTTCTGTTCGTTTTATTATTAAATTCAACTGTTATTTATCGTCTGTGTCGACGTGGTATGGTTGAATTAGCATCATCAATAACCGTTACATTGACACTTGTGTGTCTCGTTCATCTCTTATGTACATTGCCCTTTCAATGTTGGTGGATTTACTATGAAGTTCCTGACCAAACCGGTGACTGTTCGTGGTTGAAGAAGAAACTCACCTGGCGTACGATAACATTTACAATACGAAATATTAATTACATGGCGAATTTCTTTCTTTATTCATGTTCATCGAAACTATTTCGCGATGAATTAAAAGGCTTAATACTTTTATGTTTATTACCACACGAGAAATATCAAAGTTATCACTACCGACGACAATCATTGTATGACAATATGCAGCAACAGAACGTTTCACTCATTCGATTAATCATGCGCAGGCTAAGTCGATCGCCAGACTATCCAAATGGTAATGTAATTGTTAATCCAATTGGTGCCGCTGAGCATGACAATGATCCTGTTACTAATCTTTAAAATAGAATGAAATATCAACTGCTAAACCTTATACACATTCCTAATTTGTATGCACATAATAATAAATGGAACTCTATATATATACATCAATATGTAGATTGCCTTTCTTTGATACCGAAAACATAACGAATTCATTTCTCCATATTTGATCTGATCATTTCAGTTTGCTGACCTGCTTTAGTATTGATTGAAAGCTATTTAATGAATTTCTAATAGAGTGTCGAAAGGAATCTTGTAATAAGCTGAATAACTCAGCGGAAAGGAAGAGCGAAGCTTTTGACCTTGGGAGAGCACGTCTGTTTCCTATTTATAATTTGATTTGGGTGAAAGGATCATTAAATTGAAAAGTGCTTTGCTTTTATTAAGCTCGTACATAATAAACACGAGCAATCGCCATCGGAACATGATATTCTGACGGAAAATTATCTCGGTTAATTGATTTCTCGATGATTGAGAGAAGACATTCGAGAAACGATGACAATCGTATTATCTGCGTGAATACCTTGATTTTTCTCCGTCGGCGAATTTCTCAGTGTAGTAAAAATAATTTGTTTAATTCACTCATTTTCTTTTTACACTTGAACGCGCCTTTTTCCGAGAAAAAAGCGAAGAGTATTATTCATAATACATTAAACAAATATTCTCTGCCGTCTATTTTGTCATTCGGTCCTTAATCATTCTATGAAGACTCAGTTCTCATCTGCCATGTGCTTGAAATTGAAAACTCCGCATTCATTTTACGTTTATTAATAGTTTTATTTATATATTTCGACGTATAATACGCGTTCTTTGCCTCAAGTACACAAGTTGCATGAATAATTATTCTAAGACAAAAATAGTACAAGAAGATTCAGTTTTCAAGCAGTAGCAACATTGCCGAATGGAAACGCTTAGCCACACGATCCACCACCACAACCAGCGGCTTTTAGTAATGTTTGTTCAGATTCTTTTGAGACTGTTAAAACAGTAAATTCTTCAGCAGCAGTTGGATGAATGCCAACGAGATCGTCAAATTGTTGTTTGGTTGCTCCCATTGCAATTGCTAATGCGAAACCTTGAGCAACTTCACCGGCATTTGGTCCCATGAAATGTAATCCGACAACTCGATCATTTTGACTTTTGTCACAGATTAATTTTGCTAAACAATTAGCTTTGTAAAAGACTTCGGCTTTTTCTAATTCTTGCTCCTCTTGCAATTGTAATTGTTCACCGGTAACACCTTGAATAACAGTTTTCTCTTCGTTTTGAAGTTCAATATCATATGATATTTTGTTATTCGATTTCTCATTACGATATTTCTTAACGACGCGTGCGCCAGTACGTTTTTGTCCGCCAATCTCGTCGTTGAAGAGAACATAGTTGGAATTTTCCAAGTCATATGTTACTTCAGGCCAATCAACATTGTTTTTCAGAGCGTATCGATGTGACCACGAATTCTTTCCCACGAAACAGTCGCTACGAGGTGGTTTTAAATGCGGATGTATCGGTGAAATCTCCAGATTACCAAATCGTGACCAGTAAATTCGAATATTTTCTGCACCGATTCCTCCATCTGAGAGAGAAAAAAAAAGATTTGAATCAAACCAAATTACAACGATAGAAATTAACCTTCTCGTGAGCGCATAGCTTGTTCTTCATGAAGGCCAACGAAACTGTACTCCGATGGACTCGTAAATACAGTTGAGGGAATGTTTCGATAGTTCATTAATTGATTCGAAAGATTCCATACACGTCGAGCAAGATATTGACCAGCTTGAATAGCGACAGGTGTTAATTCAGGTCGTTCAATTGTTACTTGAGCTTGATGCTGCAAATCTTTACCGTGACGAATAACACCTAGAAAAAAGTAAAAGAATCGACAATGTTGGGATTGCATGAGAAATTTAATAAAAATAAAAACTGTCACTTTCAATCTGAAGATTTTTAACAAAGTTTAGAGCACTCAGAGTGCAGTCTGCATCTGAAAGGTTGTAAGAATGGAAAGTTTTCATAAATTACCGGTTGCTACATCACCCAATGCGTAAATATGAGGTAGATTTGTTTGTTCTTGCTCATCAACAAGGACTTTTCCATTAACAACATGTACACCGATTTTGTCCAGACCGAGATCAGCAATATTTGCTGTTCTACCAATAGCCAAGAGAACTTAAATGATAAAATTTTCATCAAATCTAATCCAGTTTGTTCAAGAATGTTTCTTTACTTGTATCGAAACTTTCTGAATGGATTTTTCCTTTGCGCTGATCAGCATATTCATATTTGATTTCAATTCCTCCTTTCGGTTGAATCCATGTTACTTTTCCATCAGCATGTCGAACTTCGATCGCACCTGATTCGTGTAAAAACTGATCATTTCCCTTTGCATCCTTGCCATGTTCCCAAACACCAGGTTGAACTTCTTTGGCATTTTCTAATCTACTTGGCTTTTCTAATGCGGAAAACGAGCGTGGATTAGCTGGCATAATAAACTTGACGCCATCGAGTTCCATTAACTCGCAAATCATTTCGCCACATTGATGATCCATTGTGCGTAATGGCCTTGAGCGTATCATGACAGTTACATCGTTACCGATATGATGGAGAAATGATGCACACTCGAGGGCAATATAACCAGCGCCAATAATCAGTGTTTTACCGGGATTTTTCTTTAACCAAAAGATATCATCGGAGCTGATGCATAGTTCTCGGCCAGGAAAATCGCCGTAAGTCGGACGACCACCGGTGGCGATGATTGCCTTACTGAATGTCAGTCGACCACTTTTTGTTAAACTCTATTTTCGAAAAGAGGCAAAATCAATAGCTAGGGAACTAAATTTCGATCGGTAAATGTTTTACCTTCCATTCGATTGTATGATCATCAAGAAAATGTGCTAAACCGTCTAAGTACGTCACATTTGCTGACCGTAATTGTACTTTATATGAGAAATTCAACGATTTAATATAATTTCCAATTAATGTTTGCATTGTCGCCCAATCATGCTTGCCATTGTCCACATTTTGCCAGCCAAATTCCGCGGCGTCACGGTGAAGCATATTACCGATGGTACCAGCATAATGCATTAATTTCTTTGGAACGCACTGAAAGAAGACAAAACTACTCACTTGAAATGCTTTCAAATAAGCATCATTACTTACGCCAACATTCACGCATGTACCTGGTTTGAGAGAAAACAAAAGAAAATCAGAAAATGATCAAGGAAAAAACGGATATTACTCACCACCGAGACCCCATTTGGTTCCATGGTATGTTGGAGTTACAAAATCGAAGCAAGCGACCTAGAATTTCAAGTTCATTTGTATGAAGAAAGTACTTTCATCAGATTACTTTGGCATTTTTGTTAAGTTTTGCTGCTTCCTTAGCCGCTGCTAGACCTGCAATTCACATAAAGTTCATAAAACTTTCAAGAAAGTTTCTCTTTGTTACCTCCCGAACCACCACCAACAACGACAAGATCATAATCATAATGAGGAAGATGTTGTGGAGAATACGATCTTCGATTACTTGATGTTGGTCGCGACATAATTTCAGATTTCCTTTGCAGTATGGAAAAACGTGGTGCCGGTACAAATATAACTTTCGTATGAATGACACGAAGAGCGCGTAGCATACAACAATTTACTTGAAGGAAAAAAAACTTCTGTTCTTTTTATATTTCAGTTATCTAAAACAGAAAGGAAAAGAAAGTATTTAATGAATCATAGAAAATCTTATCAACGTCATTCATAAACAGGTAATATGACGAGAACAGAATTACCGAGAAGTTCGTACTTCTCAACAACATAGGTAAACCATCAACATAAATTCTGCGATACAGAGGAAGCAAAGCATCTGGTTCAATAAACTTACGAAAAGAAAAATCTTCCACCTGTGCGTTAAGCTGTGTATAAATATGAAAAGAAGCAAACATGCAGCGTCATCATGACCATGTGTGTTAGTTTATTGAATAAAAAGGAAAACAAATCTGATGTTACAACAATGAAATAGTCACCGATATATTTCTCTACTTATCGACCAGTTGGCGATGTCGTGGCACGGAATAACGAGCTATATTCTGGATCAGCTCGAATGCGTTTCACTTCACGCTCTAACTCGATTTGAGCTTGAGGACAATCTTTCAAATTCACTACTTTGTAGATGAGATAAAACAATGAATAAAAACCAAATATAGCAATGCCAAGAAATGGAACGGTTAAGATCAATCGATGTAAAAACGATGGTAAACTTATCGGAAAAAGTCCTAGAAGAACCAGCAGCCATAGAATCAACACTCCAATGCATATTGGTAAAACTGTTTTCGGATTCATGATCTAAAATAAGACAAGTTGTAGGTTTTATTTACAATAAATAAGCACATTAACATCAATAAAGTTGGTGATTTATTTTCGTATGAGAAATAATAAGAATAATAAACGGAAAGAAGGAGAGAGAGAGAGAGAGAGAGAGATTGGTTTTCTTTAAACATTGCAGTATTGATAACAAAGAAGGAAAAGAGATGTAAACTAATCAACTGTTCTTTGGTTTGTCGGAGAGGACAAAAGGAAAAAATATCGAAATATTTTGGCACATTGTTACGTTTTTCTATCAACAAAATAAACTTAGAATAAATAAATTGTCTTATATCCAATATTCAACGAAATCTTCTAATACACTTGTCTCGATCTCGCTCATTGTGTCTTCCTTTATCGAATTCGCCGACGACGAATCCGATTTTCGATAAGACGACGTATGATTCATCGATTTATTCTTCTTTTTCGACGAATCTTTACTTTTCGACAACGAAAGTTGTTTGTTTAATGGATGAGAATTTCTTGAAACCGAATGTTGATAATGATGATGATCGTACGTATGTATACGTGTCAAACAATTGAAAAATGGATATAATTCAACAATATGTGTTATTGTACGTAGGCGGAGGAGTGGACGAGTGGAACTTTTGATGGTTGGAAGACGATCACGTATCGAAGTTGACATTGATTGTAGTTTTCTTTCGAGAAGTTTGTTTAAACGAATAGAAAAAGCGATAAATGTATCGACAGGCGACTTGCGATCAGTTGTATCTTCGTCAGTGACAAATGCAGAACGAAATCTATTTGAAAAGAATCAAAATAGATATTCAATTTCAGGGAGGAAACTAGAGGACGTACAGTTGAAAGTGATGTAATTCCGAATAAGGCATTGCTAAAAGAACGTCGAGTAATTTACAGGCGTATAGATACATTTTTAAAGCAGGACTAGCACTTGTAACATTGGTTGTAGCCAACTCATTGTTTACCATTCGTTGAACATGAGATCTGAATGAAGATGTCAAACGGATGATCGAAATTTTTTTAAGGAAATGCGTCATCTTACTTTGTTTCACCTTCTAAATCTGATAAAAGATCTTGTTCAAGTTGTAGCAAAACTTGAATCAGTTCGGCCATTAAGATAGGCCATAAGGAAATTAGATTTTTCGTTGAAATTCTCAGTAATAACACTCGAAGAAACAGAAACATTTGCGTGTGTAAAATCGGGACTTGTGGTAACTTCAACAAATCAGCAATACGTTCGAGAATTTCAGGTAATTGTCGATTGTATTGATCCTTTTCTGATGCATAAATAACAAACGCAAATCGTTTGACTAACATCGCACGTTGTTCATATTCATGTTCCTTTGATACAAATAAACCCGTTTGAACCGTATTGATTTTCGTCATTACATCTCGGAATGATGTCGGGCGTTCATTAGTGATCATGTTGTCGACAATCGTTTTCCATGAATGTAATGCCGAGATGTCTAATTGAAAGAATGCGACATCGAATAATTGCTCAAACGCTTCCTTTTTCCAGGCTTTGCGTGTATAGGAATATTGAGAAATATTCATTAGGAGAGCAGATGCCGACCGGTACGAAGGCGCATTGGCTGCGACATGTGTGCGTACGTATGGCATTACGTTAGTAACGAGATTTTGTAAATACGGGAGAACAACACGATCTTTTTCGTCGGTTCGATTGTAGACAATATCAAGTAAAGTTGCTGCATGCTCAGCAAGGACAGAGAGCGCAAGTAGACTGTAATTTCCACTGGTATTATGATCTGTGGTATTGATAGATTGTGTGGTAACTAAAATAAGAAGAAAGCGGCAGGTGTGATGAAGATATACATTGAATATTCTCTTATTATTAGTCGAAAGAGTTCATAGACAAGAGTCAAGCTTTTATAAATAATTAATACAACTATGTGGATGAATATTCCATGTGAATTTCTCTTGTTAATTTCATTAGTAGGTTCAAGAAAATGAATACCTCTCTGTGCCGCGTTCGAAATAGTATACGGGGCGATTTTAGCAGAAAATTTGTCGAATAGATCAACTACGGACAGCAATTTTTCACGTACTAAACATATTTCATCATTCTTTCTCTCTCTCTCTCCCGATTATATCTTTCTTTATATCTACTAACCATCAAAATCAGCTGGATCGTCACCGAGGATCGGTCCACTTTCGTTTGTGGCAATTAGACTAGATGATACTGTTTGAGTTGTAGTTAAACCGCTTTTCACCGATTGCGTATCAGGTTGTGCAACACGAACTTGTAAATTCTTTCGTAACCAAGTGGTTTGTTCAAGTGACGAAGCAACGATGGTATTACAATTATCCAGAACTTTCATGGTAATGTCCTATTGCAAACAAAACACGAAAGATATTCTTTCCGGATCAGTATTTTCTTTACTTGTAAATCTCTGAGATCCTTTCGTTCGACGAGAGACGGCGATTGTTTGATGTAAAAACTTAGAATTCTAAAGAAAAGAACAGAGATGAAAATATTCAAATGTGGTTATTCTTCTAACCTGATCATTAAGAATATCGCAGGTGGAGAGATCGATTGTGATAAACACTCTTTGAACATAAGCACTAATGTCGACCAGCAATCTACCGAGAGCTTCTTTTGATATTGTAAATATGCTAAGAGGAATTGAAGACACCAGACATCATAGTTTTGTTTTTTCTAAACAAAATGATACATATGATAATCAATGAATATCAAATGCGAGAAGAAGATAAGCTCGAGTAAATGCTGTATCAAATCAAAAAAGAAGGAATATATGTAGATAAGAGTATACCCATGATTTCTCCGAAACTGTCATGTTATAGAGTGCCGATAGCTGTAAAAACTAATCCAAAAGACACGAACTTCCGATTATTTCGACTATCTTTTCAAACTTTACCTTGTCTCTTGCGCTCAATTGAGTTCGTATTAACTCATTCATATGGGGTATCATATCGTTAAGTGTATATCCACTAATATTCATAACAATATCGATCAGAGCTTGCGTTTCACCGATGTTATCTCTTGGCATTGTTAAGATTGTTGTTCGTGATGATCGATCAAGTGTTGATTCAGTGGTTGCTGGAGTCTTCTGTAATGTTCGTTGCTGTCGTTTTCGTTCGCCCCAACATTGAGCTACTGCGCTGATGAATGACACTCCATTCGATTTGGTTAATGACGAAAGAAAGTCCAGTATGGTTTGACGAATATGTCGAGCATTGTGAATCGGCCAAAGGTGATTCGTGGTTTGATGAACTGGCAGAGATGTTAAGATTGTTTGATCGATCGTATGATCGAATAGAAATGGTTCAGATATCGTTTTCCAAACGAATAGTATGCTCGAAAGAATCGATGGAAGTTGATTAAGTATTAATTGCCGCGCATCGGAGAGATCACGTTCGTTGATGGTGATCTAGATATGAGAATCGAAATAGACACAAATCGAGTAAATTCAATCGTTTACTGTTTTCATCCAATGTTGTGGACAGACTGTTTGAGCTGAGAATTGTCCGTACGTAATCGAATTGCCATGAATACAATAGTTGCATATGTAAGACAAACGTTGAATTAAATGTACGATGTACTCCATCACATCAAAGTATGGCAGTTGTCTAAAGAAACGAGATTTCGATCTTGCAATGTTCTACTTCCAACGAATTCTTACTTGAATTTGATCTTAGTTCCTTGTTGTTGATTGTGAGCTTGAACAACGAAACATAAATTTCGACAGATTTGCTCAATAACCAAACTGCTAATTGATTTCAACGATGAACCACAATGTGGTAAAATCCGTACGACTAAACCAATGATATGTCGATGATTTTCAATGAAATCAATTTGTTTCAAATATTGCAATATTGACGAAAGAAAAAGACTCTGGTTCACAATGGGCTGGTTTTCGATATATCGTAATGAATTCGTCGATGTGTTTACTTGAGTATTTTTGGTAATTAAACTAATGAAATCTAAATCGGGTTGCTGTCGAAATTGAAATAAGGATAAATTAGAATAGTCATTCGATTTGAATTGAACACTATTTGATGTCGCTGAAGCATGAATTGGCGTTTGATTAGAAGTCAAATCATGTCGATGTTGATAGTATTGAAGAATGTTTTCTAACAGAATCATTTCTTCAATTAATCCAACCAATTCTCTCAAATATTGTCGAGTTAATTCGTCATAGATTGATTCAACATTATAATCATAGATCGCTTTCGTCAAGGTTTTACTTCGGCTAAGTCGCGTTTTGTGATTTATCTTCTCAATAATCGTATTGAACAAATGTAAAACCGTCTTCTGAAAGGACAGTTTTTGAAATAAATCATAGATGTAATTAATCAATTGCAGATTCGTATGAAAATTTTCCATACATATAATCGACAGATCATGACAGATACGTTTTAACAATGTTAATGAACGTATGTGAACTTTACGATTTCCTTGCATATCGTGCATATTCAATCGATGTTCGAATGACTTCGAGTAATAACTACGAGTATAGATCAAAAGTATGTTAATCAATGTATATAAATAAGATTGATGTTGATTAACAGATGCGTTTTCTAATGAAGAATAGAAATTTTTTCCTTCGATAGCCCGACGATGTCTCAGTGAAAGTTCATGTAGACGTGTATTGTGCATATTGATCGGCGAGGTTTGGATATTTGTTGTGATTAGCAATGTGTGAATTAATTGTTGAGGAATGAGATCGATTAAACTTTCGATAATGTTCAAAGCGAATGTAACACGATTGTAATCATAAGGTTGACTGTAGAGTAGAAAATACGCAAGATGAAAGTCGAGTTTTTTCGAGCGATCGATCGCATCGAGTTTTTTAGTATTGACAGGAATTGATTGCGATTCATTCAAAGATTTAACTGGACTGGACGATTGCTCCGAAATGCCATCGATCGTGACAGCATGTGGAATTGGACCAACCGAATGCGGACGACGAGAATTGAGATTATTATTTATTGTTGTGTTAATAAGTTGTGTGTCATTCAATGAATCAGTTTCAGTTGAGGTTTCTTCATGAAGTGATGCATACATACGTGGGATATTACTAGAACTACCTTTTGGACTGTTGCATTCAATTCCACTATTATTTCGACTGAAGACTGTGGGCATTGTGGGTGCACGCCGTTTGACAGTTCTGGATGATGTCGAAATTGTTGGTGAGACGGACCGACTGTTGGAAAGACTAGGTTGAGAAAGGCTCAATGTCGTTGGCGGTTTCATCGAACTCGATTTCATTGGTTGAGGTGATGATTGTTTCAAATGGTAGACCATTTCACCGGTATCAGTACAACTTATTGCACAAATCTAAATCAAAGAAAATTTATCGTATTTTTAGGCATATTTCATGATTATCTCTTGGATTTACTCGTTTTTCTTCGTCACTTTCTTCCTGTTCGCCATCATCGTCATTATCATAATTCTCATCTTCTTCATCTTCATCTTCATCGTCATTCTCTTCAGCATCATCATCCAGCAGTACAGAAAATGTGATTTCATTGATATCTCCAACACTCATGTCATCTGTATCATTGCTAACACTACTCTCTTGAGGTTGGTAGTTCGTATTCGCTGAGACTTGATCGAGTGGTCGATTCACAAAATATTCTCGATGAGCAGTTGGATGCAATTTCTGCACACTAATCCGTGCCGTGTCCGGATTTAATAACATAATAAGAATAATATCAAATATTCGATACATATCTCCTACAAAAGAAACATTCGGTTAATTTTCAAAACGAAATGTTCATGTTTACTGTGAACAAAACAATCGTATGTCCATTGTTGTACGATTGATTTTAAACAATGATTGTTCGATTCATTTAAAATACTTATAACAATAAGTAAACAACGTTCGAATGTCTTCGTTAAATGTCCATAAGTAACAATGGATATATCTCGCGTTGAATTCCACAATTTAAAGAATCGTCTATAAGCATCGATAAGAATCAACTCATGTTCGTATTGTTGGATATGCGTCGACGATAGTTGATTACAAATGAGATCTTCACAATCACAATTCGGTAACATCGAATGAAGCATTGATAAGATTCTTGATGCTTTCAAATTGTAGTGTCGTTCGTATTTATCGCTTAGATGTTCCCATAGATACGCAGTTATGTGCTGAAAGAAGAGTGTTTCGTTGATGAGCAAGGAAACTTGTTCTTGGTTGAATGATGGAATGATAGAAACATTATCAGGAAGTTTCAAACTTGTTCCGTTTGATATATCAGCCGAATTATCTGAAGTTTTCGGATTACAAAGACATAAGGTATAGCCGAATAGTTCAATAAGGACAGATATCGCAATGCTTTGAATGAAAAAATGATCACTTTCACAAACCGATAACACACAGAGATCAATTGACCAATCATCGAATTCATTTTTACCTAAAGATGAAAAAGCATCGAAGTGAATAATTCGGAATTTCGTCGGAAAATCACGAGACCGGATGGATTAATACCAGACTTTAGCAATTAATTTTTTCCTCATGATTGACTGATTAATCATGTCTGTCACAAGACTTACCTTTCGATAATTTGGATTGATCAGTGATCGATGATTGTCTCGGGAAGCAACAGAATTCTATGAGTAGTTTGCAACAATCATCAAACGCACGTTTATAATAATCAGCATTCTCGTGCAGTTTTAATTGAAATTCATCTTGTTGTTGATAATGATTGAAGAGTGCTCGAATGTTTTCGTTGGTTTTCTTTTGTGTGATGGAGTAAATATTTTGAAACTTTTCATTCATTGATATGTGATTTGCATCGATTAAAAACGTAATAATAAACCGATGAAAAAAGATCTTATATAACGTAATGGATTTCTCTAAATGACTCATCGATCGTAATATCGTTTTCGTTAATACCGCTGGTTTCTCATCGACAGACTTCTTGACTTCGTTATTCAGTTTGTAAATCTGCTTTTCAACTCTTCGAACCATGTGACGGAGAAGACGTTCCACTTCTTGTGTACATTCTTGGTCAGTTGTTTGCATTGGATTCTGTAATTGACCAATGCTATTTGTACGAGTTAATTTATTATTAATGTCAGTTGAGTATTCATTTTCGGTATCAAATCTCGAAACGTTGTCGTCTTCACTCTCGCTTTCACTAGTCGTGTCTTCGAACGGAAGTTCACTTATCGTTGGTCTTTGTTCACAAACGGATATGAGATCATCACTGGTCGAACGACGAAAGATTGACAACCGATGAGTGGTTTCATTGGGCACGACTTTCTTGAGAATTTTCAAGAGAATTTCCATACATAACGTTATCTGGTCAGCGGTGAATTTGCTAATATTATTGTTCATGGTTTTTATAAGACGATAGAGCATTTCAGGTAAATGTTCCGATTGAATATCTGTCGATGATTCCAGTGAAGCAATATCGAGCAGCATGTTGATTATTCCACATAGTTGTTCAATGGATATTCCTGCAGTGATCATCAACTGATCATGTTGGTCCGTAACGATAATATCGAAGATTTTCGTGAGAAATTCCCAGATGAAATACGGCTGAAAAGTATCCAAAAGCACATTTAAAGTATTCAAAGTTTCCGGACGTGTATTTTCTTGTTGGATATTAGCTGTGGTTAATTGTTTCGCTGGTAAATAAACTTGCTGATAAACAATTGATAAGTAACTCATTAGGACAGATTCGAGGATGTTTGGACCCACATCAGGCTTATCAACTAAATACAACAGAAAACGTTTTTTTTTTGTTTATTCAAATCATTCCAATGAGTCATTTCGCAGTGTCTTCGTTCAATAACAAACGCCTCGATCACAAGGGATAACATTCTCATTAATTTTTCACAGAACGAAGAAAGAAAAAGAAGTACTTCGCACGAAGTGTCTAAAGAATATTATTTCATATTGAATTATCACAAAAGATATTAATACCAGATGCCTAGACAGAAAAATTGGCTCTGGTTTGGTTCAAGTTTATCAAGGAATCTATTTACATTGACAGATAGCATATAAACTTCTCGTAGTCTATTGTGCGAAGGACAAATGAATTCTCTGCGACATATTATAATCAATGACGTCAATAAACAACGCTTTCCAATGGAATACTTCTCGAAATTCTGTACATACCTAGAATAGTGAGTACGCGAATTAAGTTCGTCAATGTCCATGTCGATGGCATTGACTCAGCAATAGTTGCAATCAACGTCTTGTTCTCGTTAGGCGTAGTTGGTTTCGATTTCACTAATAGCATTGTATTCGATGAAATGATTTCAAGTGCATGTAGTATAGATTGAATTAGAAGTTCTTGAGTATATTGAATAAAATAGGAGGACGAATCGAATGGATCATTGGTTACAGCTAATGATGTTGACGAGGCATGAATATCGTTATTTTGCTGTTGTTGATGCTGTTTACTTGTGCTATCAGCTGGACTTTGTTCAGTACCAAGAAACCAAGCATAGATTCGACGATTCAGTGACATATCACGTTTTAACACAATTTGTAAAGTCACAGTAATGATTTTCATCATATCGATTTTGGTCAATTGTTTATTGTGCATTGGTAAACAAACAAGAAGGAAATCAAGAATAGAACGTTGAACTAATGGTTGATCACGATCTTGAAGACATGTACATACAGCGGATACCTGTAGAGAGAAAAAAAACCATATATAGAACATCTCAGGAACGCCATTGAATCTCTTACCATCGTTTCAACAGAAGAGCCCATTAGATAAAGTTGATCTTCCATACTTTTTCGTTTATCGAAATGATTTAATATGAATGTCAACGCTGAATGACGTGCTGATGCGACTAAATGTATTGCTGACCAAATACAAGTGTAATAGTAGAATTTATCAATTCGATTGGAGAGATTATCGAGTAAGGCATAGATTCTGTCGTGATAATCCGCGCCTTCTTCTAATGCTGGAAACAATCCGAGAAAGAATCCAGTCAATATGGGATTGAGGGCTTCATCTAACGGAAGAATATATGTCTCATATAAGTTTAATAGAACGGGTTTGACAGGTAGTGCAGCAGCTGGTAATAATGGAAAGAGACCACACGAATAAAGAATAATGTCTCGTTGTAAATTGCGTTTTCCGATCATTCGAAATATTGTTTCGTACACTTCGAGTGTTTTCAAATGAACACCAGACGGTAGTGCTGGATGCAGACATTGCGCAAGACGTTTGGATAGTGTGATGCGTTTGGGGATGGATTGAAATTTGGGATAACTTTCTATCGCCTGCAAATGACATATTATAGAATCAAATTCGAAAAACAACAAAAATGTCTTCTTACTTTTTTCACTTTGACTAGATTGGTTATAAGATCAGCCCATTCGGATGAATATTCAAATTGTTTGAGCACTTTTTCTAATGTGCCAATAAAATTTTTATACCGGCCATCATTTAATAAGGCAATTTCATCACTGGGCATCAAACTCATCTTTTTAGTATTTTCAAATGGTTTTGTTCGGCACAAAATCTATCTGAAAGATATATTTAGATCTGGATCTACTCACAAGATCAATTATCACGTGCGCAATGAGCCTAGATTAACGTTAGACGGAGTCAACGCATACATACGCCCAACTATTTAATTGCGATAAAGATGGGAGAGATTCGCGAATCGAACGATCGATGTGCTTGTTAATGAATCATTTATTTGTTGTTCGTCGTCTACGATTGGTGACGCATATGGACCAATGAGACTCGAATAATCAACATCACGTTGATCGAGTTGACTCATTTTTTTTACTGACGCAGAAGATAAACAATTTTCTCATTTTTATCTTCGCTATTAAAATTTAGTGCACCAGCGATATTATTCATACAAGAAACTCAAGCGAACAATGGTCGTTACACAAAATCCACCCACATGGTACGATTCTTGCCTTTGCTTTTAATATAAAAAAAATGGGATATATGAAACTTTTTTTGTAGGACGGATCGAGATACTTGTTTTCGTTGTCGAACAACATTTACAGCATTTACTCGCAAACATCACTGTCGAGCATGTGGAGAAACATTTTGCTCATCTTGTATGTATTGTTCAATATAGAAAAACTTATGAAGAATTCTCTGGGAAATTGTAGGTTCGTCAAAATCAAGTCCTCTACTTGAATTTGGCATAGAAGATGAAGTTCGAGTTTGTGAATCATGCTATGATCGTTTAACAACGTAAGTAACATTCTTTCTATCGATTACAGAAAACTATTTCGAGTTGGTCTTGCAGAACCGGTAGTGTCAATCCAACTCCAGCTTCTGAGACAACATCAGCATCTGCTGTAGCAAAACCAACTGAGAAGAGTCAAGCTGAAATCGACGAAGAAGAAGCACTTCAACTGGCCATCTCGTTGTCTCAAAGTGAAGCTGACGAAAAAGAACGACGAAAGAAACTGCTCACCCAACAGTATGCGTTAGCATCGATTCCAACACCGCCAACGCCGCTTGGTTCAGCGCCGATTGCCGATCAGGTATTAGTATTGATCATTCTGCTAGAAGAAGGCACCACTCGAGAAGAGAAAGAAATTTATGTAAAACATATGTTTATCCAGCGAAAGAAAAAGGTCAAAATTTGTTCTAACCTTTGTTTTTATTATTATACATTAGAATGACAACGAGCAAAAACCAGTTGGTGGTAATGCAGAATTAGCCAAATATTTAGATCGAAATTATTGGGAAGGACAAACACAAAAAGATCTTGGCACAAACATAGTCCAGAATGTATTTTCCTTGTTTTTTTCGACAACTTTCGACATACACAAACGCGTTCTTCTCTAGGATTCGACGGACAATTTCGTTCGTGATGATGAAATTGATGCATTCATCAATGTTGCTAATAGTCATATAAATAATATCAAATTTCGAATGTTAAGCAATCAACAACGCGGTCGAAATATCGCCAATGACACTGCCGTACAATCAGTATTCTTCACTTTACAACATATGTATCCTGAATTGAATCGATTGATTCAATCACTCGATGATAAACAAGGTTAAAGATCTTTTTTCTATGTTCGATTGAAACATTCATCTGAAAAATGTTATTTCAGCTTATCATGAGAGTTTACAAGATAAATTGGGTCAATTGAAAGATGCTCGAGAAGCGTTGAATGCATTACGCGATGAACATTTAGAGAACAAACGACGTCAGGCATTTGAGCGTGAAAGACAGAGACAAATGCAATTAGCTGTCAAGCTTGATGATATGCGTCAGAAGAAACATGTAAGGAACCAATTGCAGAACTTTCCGAAAACTAGCAGATGTGCTGTAGGCTTATCTGGAATATCACAGACAACTGCATTTGCAACGTCTAGCCGAACAGGAAGCAGAAATGCAAGCACGTCTTGATCAACAACGACGTTATGCTCAACAACGCGAACAGCAAAATCAAATTGATTATCATCTTAGTCAAGTACAATCAAGTCTCCCGTATGTTCAATCATTGCCATCAGTTGCTTATTATCCTCATCAACAGCAGCACCAGCAACAACAACAACAACATGTTCAATCCATGCCAACTTCACAAATACCAACTCATTCGTTCTCCATGGGGCGTAAGTGTATATATAATGTCAAAAGAAGGCATTTTTTCCCTTTCTGTATAGAACTGTCAGATGCTTTACCTCCGCCGCTTGCCCCACCCATCTCTCAATATCAACAGCTCTACTCTGCTCATCCACCGATGCAGTCAAATGAGCAAACACTCATCTCATTTGACTGAAAACCAAAACGGAGAAGCTTCGATGTAAAAACAACATTTTATTTCTTCTTTTATTTATGTGCAATGTCGATTCTCATTTGTCTTCTGAAAACGCGCTTTTTAATGTCCAATTGGAATGACACACATACACAGTGAAGCATCATATGATGTGTGTAATCGCTATTGTAAATTTTATTCTGTTGAAATATATGTGACAAAAATATTCATCGGATCAGATGTCAAACCTATCTTTCGGATATGTTTTTCATTAGTTTAATGGAACGATACTTCTCTTCCAGGTTTCGGTTTGAATACAATGGAAGGATGTATATTCGAAGATTCCAGATTTATCTCTTATGAGGAAAGATGATCACTTAGATTATTGTAATGAAGTGTATAGCGCCCACGTCAAGTCCAATTAAGCTTTCAAAAGTAATCATTCCAGCACTTACTCCGTCGACTTTTCATCTACCTCAACTAACGAAGGCGCCGCGACATGTTTCCGTACGTTAATCAGTTAAATGTCTTTCTATGTATATACACGTATGTTCTTTTCATCTCTATAAATAAATGTCCATTGTGATTATTTCATATGAAACTAATTACATAGGAATCGTTATTCGCATGAATAAGTCGTTTTATAGCCATTGTTGAAAAATACTATACCAGATGTCCTATGAAAAAATGAGATTACTTGGACTTTTCTGTTGCATAATGTATATACGCATTTGAAAATCATCACACATCTCCTAGGTCATCAAGTGTTCCATTTGATATTATGAAAGGAAAGAATCAGTTTTCTCCATACGATCTTTGACTACTCGAAGTTTGTGGTTCTCGACTTCGTACGCCGTTGAGTTCTCTACTAATGATACAAACTCTCTTAAAATGTCAATACTCATATTAGATACGTGTAAAACGTCCAACGCAACAACAAGATTTCAATGTTCAGTGAATCGAATCGTATCATTATTCAATCTCGTTGAAGAACCTCTCCTTACTTTTAATTTAGTCTTTGTGTATTCAAGCGAAATCAACGTAGTATGAAAGATCGCATTTTTAGACAAAAATCACAAGACTAAGGCTTACGGTCAAATGAATACATGTCTAGTGGCATCATCTATAAATCTAAGACTAATTTTTCAACCGATAAAAAGTCAATAGTAATCAGAAATTCGAATAGCTTTACATTCTTGCATGAATTTCTCTGACTGATATATTCTTTGAAACAAAAAAGAAAACAGCTAGTGACATCTGTTTCACTTCGTTGTTGATCAATCCCTTTTCCTCATGCACTCAGTCAGTTTGTTACAACGACGAGTCACTTTGTTTTTGTTACTAAACTTTCCGAGAACTATGTCCGCTAGTTTCATGACAGAATTCATTCCCGATGAGTAAGATCGAATGAATTTTTTGCTGAAAAAAAATCTCACTCTAAATTCCAGAGTTCGACACAATATTGATCAGCCAAGTCTTCAACGAAAGTTTGTTGGTAATTTGTGTGAAAGCTCAGACAGATATGTAATAAATGTTCTACAGTGGAATATATTAGCCCAAGGTAGTTGATATTGATCGAAAAAAGCATTTGTTTAATCGTTTCTCTCAGCACTATCGTATTCGGAAGGAAATTTTAATCGTGTTAAAAGTGAGATGGTTCAATATGAAACGCGCAGATGGAGAATACTTGAACAAATCCTTATTCATCAACCAGATCTGTGTTCACTGCAAGAAGTGGATATATACAATTGCTTTCTCAAAGAACAATTACGAAAATATGGGTAAAACATATATGATCAGGATGTTGTCGGTATTGAATCGTTTTTTTTTAAAATAGTTATGAGTGTTTCTTCACTGAAAAACCCAATTCCAGATGTCTTTCTTTCCAGCATGATCAGAAAAACTTCAAAGGACCCGACGGTCTTTTACTTTGTTTTAAAACAAGCACTTTCAAAGAAATTAGTCGAAATACTTCAGATTTACCAAACGATGGCCGTTATGGTCGACAGGTAATCCGATACAGTCTTACTTCATGAAAAAACGCTAAACATCAATTCCACAGGTATTTTCAATTCTCGAACTAGAATATCTTCCATTATCATCTCGAGTGGTATTTATCGGTACACATTTCAAAGCTAAAAAGCAATTTGCCGCATCTCGTACAAATCAAGCTGCGACTATAGTCACTTATGTCAATAATAAATATCCGACAAGTACCAATTTAATCATTGCTGGAGATTTTAATGGTCAACCAGATGAGCCTTGTTATGATGTCTTGATCAAATCTGGTTTGCAGAGTGCATATCGAACATTGATGAATAATCATGAACCAGCGTTTACAACTTGGAAGTTTAAATCCCGAGAAGAGAACAAAGAGAAGGAGGAAAGTGCAACGATAGATTATATTTTTTATCAGCCGGAAAATTTGATACCTATCGCCTACTTAGCATTTCCAGAGAAACGAACAATTGGTCCTAATGGTCTTCCATCTGCCACTTATCCTTCAGATCATTTAGCTCTTCAAGTTGTATTTCGCGTAGAAAAGTAATCGTCGACGTTTTCTTTCCATACAAAACAGAACAAGAGAAAAGTTATTATCGTTCATTTGTTAATCAATTCACTTTCAATCTCAAAAGTTGTCAACTTCTATTTTGTTTTTAACGTCTAGACAAGGATCAATCCGACAAGTTCGAAAGTCGATGGTAATTCTTTTGATCTGTTTTCTTGATATTTTTCTCTACGGTCGTAAACTTGAGTTTATACGGTTTTTTTTATAAATATATATTGTGACAACAAAGGGGAGAGAAAAAACGAAAGAAAAAGCTCAAATACAATACAACAGAAACAAAACAAATAGGAATAAAAGAACGTTGTAACATTTTTTCGAATTTTTTGTGTATAACATATTATTTTTAATTTAGATCACAGTAAAAAAAAGAACAAAACACGAAAAAAAAACAAACCCCACGCATGAAACTCACATTAATGTACTCGCTTGGAAGCGGCCTTAGTAAAAAGGAAATAAGAGAAAAATACACGATATAATATGAGAGAAGAAAAGGCAAACAAGGACAACGTTAGATGAATCCCACCGGGACTGATAAGAAAATTTTACGAGTACTCTCCTCGATTCGAGATTTCCTTTTTCTTTCTATACTCTTGCTTTTGTACATAAATGTCTCGAAGAAACCAATTTAAGTAGATTTTGTCAGTCTCTTAGTTCATTCTGAAGTTTGGAAAGCTATTTATATAATTGATTTTATTTCGAAAATATATCTTACGCATCGTGTTCATTTTGACTGGACAGGTATCGTAATCAACGATGTGAATATAACGATTTTTTTCACATTGTCCACGTAATAGAGCACAGTAGTTTTTATATAAATGCCCGTCATCACCACAAGTTCGAACGTCCATGCTGCATTCTCCACTATGGGCTAGAAATCGCGGAGAGTACTGACAACGTATGCAAACCGGTTGAGCTTGTCGAGAATAGACACAGCGTTCACTAGGTTGACAAAGATTTGGACGGCATTTTGTTTCTATTGAGAATTTAATGAAGATACCATTAGATAGAAGACATTTCTCTATGCGGAAAAATTAGTCTTACCACAACGACCTTTATGCGCTAATTCGGGAGTTCGCCCTTGTTCATCTGGACTCAAACGCATAGCACAAATATTCCGGTAGGTTACACCATTTGTACCGCACACTGGCTCAGGATCCGCAGATGGATTACAATGTTTCTTAGGATAACAAAATGGTTCACCCGTATTTCGAACTAACAAACAAATAGTTTCATGTGGACACTTCACATTTCGACAATCCTCTATAAAAAGCAAAGAAAATCATTGCTCACAAACTGAATTTGATTTCATGCTTATCTTACTTTGACATTCGCCATCGTACTTTTTGTAGAGTGCCGATTGATGATTCATACATTTCCATGCTTCCATTGCACACTCAGAGCTGAACGTGACATTATTCGATGCACATAATGGTTGATTATGTTTCTTCGATGATGTCGAATCTGTCGCCGTACACGATTCTGCACTGCACACACACATTTCTTCGTCATTGATCCATTGGCACTCTTGACCAAGACCACAATCAACATCACATCGTTTGGGGACGTCTAGATAATACGAATCGAACATTATACATGTTCGATCTCATCATCAGCATGACTTACTATTGACTTCTCTACATTTCTCTGCGTAGGCGTATCCGTCGAGTTCTTGTCGTATATCATCGGAATAATAAGAACCTGAACATTGATCTTCGCTAACATCTGCTTCACTTAGATCATAACACATATCATTAATACGATGATTAAAACAGTTGCCAGCTGAAACGAAGAAGAAAAAAAAGAAGTCCGTTAGTATTACTCATGTTTTGACCGTTACAATATGAGTTAACGGCTTCTTGACCTGAATATGTGCGTATATATGTCAACGTTCTGGAAACAGGAAGAAGAAATAGGTGCCCTATTGCTGCTTTATTATTCTTTCACATCTATTGTTCCTTTTATTTCTAATCAGTAAGATATCGATTTCATTTCCCTTCACATTGCGCGCATCGTGCCCTTGACCCAATATATCTCCTCCATCCCTCATTGTGATTTTGTGACACATGTACACACTCATATGCATGCCACTCAACGGTCTTGAATATCATCAATATATAGGACACTGCTGCATATCAATACGGATGAACACATAAAGGAAAGAAGGATGAAGACATGACTCATTTCGAAATGACTGACATTTCATTGCCATAGGAAGGGAACACAGTATTCTATTCATGGCACGAAATTGAACAAAATTAGAAAACATACCGTGTGTAATGACAATATATTGATTGACGAGAATAAAAAATGTGATAAATCTCATAGAAATGTTGCATATTGTTGAAGATGTCATTGTCATCAAAGAAATCAATTGAGATCTATTAGTTAATAGGTGCGTTTGTTTGGTCAATTCTTAAATGAGTCAAAGATAATACTAATGTGTTTGCGAGAATAATTTATGTGTGAACTATATGAAGAAAATATCAATAATGAACCTACAACAAATAGAGAACAGCATGTATTAAAAAAAAGAGAAAAAAGAGAAAGAGAGAGAGAGAGCGCACACGTAGAGAGAAGAATGTGACGAAGATATAGAGAGACAAAAGAGAAGGAAAGAGAGATATATATGAAGGGACATATCAAAATCAGACATTAGAGATCAAAATCTGAGCTTAAACTGAACGAAAAATAAACTAATAACGATGTTTTCTCCAAAGAATTCAATTCATATTAATCAGCTAAGTAGTTCTTATCTGCTTTGCTCAACTCATGTCCTCTTACACAAATCGTCCATATGAAAATCTCTTTACACGGGATTAGACATTTTTCGGCGAAAAAAAATTCATTTTCTTCCGGTAATCTGTTCATTGAACTACACCTACAACTTGTTATCGACCGGAAAGTATCCATTAAATTTCTCTTTCTCGGAGTGAATGCGACTGCATCTTCGTGGAAACTATTTCCGTCTACCAGAAAACTGAATATATGATAAATATAGCGTCGTTCTTCTCACAATTTAGCAAATTCTTCCTTACAATAATATGTTGAAGGCGTGAATGATATACGATCAAATAGGGTTTCTTTTTTCTTGCGCGCATGATTAGATATACATGTGAATAAAAAGGTGTGTAGCAACGACCAGCTGTCCGGTTGCAAAATCATGTTTTTCGATCATATGTTCATTTTGAATTGTATGCGCTTTACATGTCTCTCTCGCCTTTTCGATAAAGTTATGCAATCCGAATGCAAAGAAATAAGCGTCACCGTGCGACAATATCGACGGTGATGTTGATGATGAAAGTAAATCGTGTTCTATTACAGGTTGAGACAGCGAGGGATGATGGTGCGGAAGGTAACTATGCACTTCCGGTTTCGAAATCACAGTGTGTCTTTTCAAATTTCATTACAATGAAATCGGTTATATAAATGGAGAGAAAGCGGAAATGTGTAGTGTCTAATAGATGGTATAAGATACGGAGACACGTCCACTAATTGACAAAAAAGCACTAAATGATAGAAAATTCAAACTAAAAAAGAAAAAGGGCAACAAGTTGCTGGTAAAGAGCTCGATTGTTCTTGTTGTTCTTACCGGTTAATTTTACAGTCATTACTTGTGTTTAATTTTTGATGAGAGTGGCCTTGGCTAGGACTAAGATAAATATAGCAACAAGAAGTATGTGTGAGATTTTTGTTTTGACTCATGACTAGCGTAAATGAGACAAACAAGTTGTTATTTCTATTCAATGTCAATAATTGCCGGCTAGCATTCGTCTCTTTCCCTTGTCTTACAAATCTCATGTTATTTTTGTTCAGCAAATTAATTTGACTGTTTTCTACATCGATCAACTGTCTATGGAAAAGATTTGATGACGTCAATGAATTCATCCAACACATTGACTTTCTAATTAATAAAATTAACTATTGTCATTCGCATAACCCCATGGAATGTTTCTTCGAGACAAAGATAAAACAACACACATCCAGCGCTCATGAGCGTCTCCTGTGAGCATTTTCGAATTGCTTTCTTCTTCTCTTACTCTTCCATTCCCTTTTAAATTCAATCAATATTCTAGAACATAGATGATGCAATTCATATGACCTCGAACTAACTGATGTAAAGAATGATGATTGATGCAAGTTGCGTAGAGAACGGCGAGGATCAAAGTTCAAGGTACAAAATGATCAAAATCATGAACAGAACACGCATGCAAATAATCGATCAGCATACAAGGTTCAACTATTATGTTCATCTATTGAGAAAAATCATGTCGAAATCGAACTATTCTCGAGATATGTTACAGCTAACCTTTCAGGATACACACATGGTTCTGACATAATTGTAAGTCAATCGTAGAACGTGTCTAACATGAGCATTCCATTTAGAGGCGGCGCGAGTTCTTACGGAAATATAATCTAGAATAGCATTCAATGACGTCAATTATAATTTCGAGTTAATTTACGAATGATCAAAGAGTGATTTTTTTTCTCTAAAATAACAGGAACATGTTAATATGGGAACTTTCATAAATTTTTAAAATTCTATTTAAAAAATACACCCTAAAACTTGCTAATCATTCAATATCCAGTCTATCGCGGTCGAGAGAACTATGTTCTAATCGGAACTGCATATTAGTACAGGATTATTTATTTGAACTTTAATAGAACATATTGAATTGCTACTATTTAGCGATGACACTTATTAGTAATTCAATCCTACATTTCACTGACTGACGTCAAACACAGTGATGCGGTAAAGCGAATTTCATTTTGTTTTAAGAGTTCAATCTGAATTAGTAATTCTTTTCATGTAGGTGGAAACATATTCAGACATAATTACATTCAAGTGACTGTAATATTTCATTCGTGAATAATATGTTACTCTAGTGGTGAACAGTTAGTTGATTTTGTCAGAAGCAGTGCGCATGAAATCTACGTCATCGACGCTCTGTCTTTGTCAGTTCAAACGACGACATAAATTCTGTTAGTGATGAAGTCGTCCGAAGCACTTGATGAACGAATAGATGCAACACTTGACTGATTTTCAAACAAGAAAATGATCATTTATCATGATAATCTTTTGTTTTATGAGCTATACACGAGAAAAAGAAAGAAACCTATTGCATTAACATATTTCAATGAAGGAGAAATCAGTCGTCTAGACTTGTCTTTTTTATAATATCGTTGTACAATACTGTCTACTAAACATTTGCGTTCAAATATTATTGAGAAATATTCAATCGTCTCACCTTGCAATCGGAGACGCAGTTTTGTCACTACGAGTAGTGTTTGCTACGCAAAGTTGATCCTGATTAAGATGCTTACCTTGTTCAATCCATTTAAGAATCATTTAGCGACTTATGTCATTTGAAAAAAATAAACCTAGAGAGTAAATTGCGTTTTTACAGTATTTAGAGAAGACACTACAGTGATTATGTCAGCTTAAATGCACACCCACGTTATATTAGTTTGTATGAATCTCAATGATTGAAAAACAAATCCGCTTAAGGCAGAAATGCACCAAAAAATAGCTATTTCGTATTAACTGTTCTTTTTACAGTATTTATACCAATAAATTCTACATTGTAAGTCGACATATTGAGAATTCATCAGTTCGAATGCAATTTGAGTTCATGGCAGGTACCACCAGCACGACTCACATTCTTAATCGCCGAACATCGCTAATGAGATCCCATGTCAAACCATCTAAAATCGTTCGTACTTAGGTTGTTGAACCAGAGAAAGCAGGTCAACATACTCATTAATATTGAACGTGATATTACATTCGAAGAGTCAAATGATAATGCAAAAACTCCGGTTAAAACCTAAAAATATTGACTTAGTATACATGAGATCCTACTTCGAAATGCGAATGTAATTAATAGTTGAAAATGAAAATATCAGTATTGATGAACAATTCGAGATTAGAGACAGAAAGAGAGAACTCGCGTCATACGACTTTGCTTAAACGATATTTTATACGTGAAAATATCAAATGAGATATGTTCCTTCAGAGCGTTTTTTATACTTTAATACCTCTGATATGAGAAAACTCGATACTAAGTGCATTCGAATTAGCTCTCCTAATCTACTCAACTATGTACATTTCAAGTCTAGGTCTGATGTATCTAAATAACTTCCAAAAGAACATTCCTTACGCACGAGAAATCAATTTTTCGATAATTATACTTTTCATGTCAAATTCTTAACGATATTTTTAGTTTTCTATCCTACGCAACAAGAAAAGTTAATTTGCACAATGGTATCGCACTGAGAACAAAATAAATATTTTTAAGTATTATATATGGGACATGTCACATTGTGTGTAGAATAGAAATAAACACTGAACACTTTCTCTCAAGTAGAATAGGACTCGAATAAACGATATTATTCATGTTCAATAAGCGGAGAGAAAATCGAAATATCTGTAAACATACAACCCGAAAGTTTTATTCAATGAAAACGAAGCGAAGCAAGAGAGAAAAACGATTATCAAAAAGAAATCTTACACGCACACGCACGTACATAGTCGAACAGATACAAAGGAGTTCTAAACACAGTGAAAAATCAAAAATAAATAAATAACATTCAACCCTGAGTCGAATTTATCATCTATTAGCAAGACAAGTTTCAAATGAAACACATTGGTGATTGATTAGACATCAAGGCTTCAAGACGTTCGAATCATTTTGCTTTGTTTCTCTTCAATTTAAATCACCGGTGAATGTCAATCGAATACACGATCAGCTTTTTAAGTCTTGATTTGAAACCTAAAATTTGTTGGATCATCAGTTATTTCCGGATAAATCAATGGATCGTAGCGATAAGTGATTGTATAGTTCGCTAAATAACCATTACTGATCAATTCGTCTATTTCATTCGATGACCATGGATACAAATAGTACAAACGAGAATTTTCCATCAGATACGTTCGTTCGTATTGCCAAACATTCGTCACCATTTGTGATAGATTATATTCAATCAATCGTTGATATTCTTCGTCGTAGGTTGAACCAAACTTTATGTGAAATACAGTTGTGTTACTGATGATAAGATCGATATCGATCAGATTTTCTTTTGTTGTTTGATAGCGAATGTTAATTTTGAACTGACGAAATACAGGTTGGTTCAAATGAGATTTTAATTGATGGAAATGGGAGAAGTTTTGAAGGAAGTAGATTTCATTTTGTTTGTAGTAGGGTAAGACGTAGGATAGATTGAATAGACGTGAGAAGACATCATCATAGGATGTAAATGAAAGGAATTCTATTTGGTTTGACGGATTTTTGATTGATAATGTTCGATTGATCCAAAAGTCATTCTCATTTTGAATATGAGCAATTGAATAGACGAATCGATTTGGATACGAGATGGAATAATATTGATTGAAATATGAGAAAAACGATGAATAGATTAATGAGCTCTGACCCAAGAGATGGTTTTCATTGGAAACGTAATTCGATGATAAGATCGAGTCAAATAAATTCGAAAAGCCATAATTCAAATTTTGTAATTGTTTAAGAATATCTAAAGATACAAATCCGATCAAATGAGTATTAGAACAATAAACATTTTCATTCGGTGTCTATCGACAAAGGAGACAATATGAATTTCATGGGTGATTGATTGTCAGAATGTACATATAAACTATTAGTGATTAGAGAAGATCGATATTGCGACTCATATCCTTTTTCGTTTCCGAAAACAAACAGATTTTGCAAAAGTCTGTATCATATAAGAAATTTTACTGTTCATATTTTCATTGTGACACTCGGGGAAGAATTCATCAGACCATGAATGTTTTTTATTTCTCATTTTCTCTCGATAGGTTATTCATAGGATTGACAACTTTTCATAGAAATCAAGAAGTGATGGATTAACGATAGCTCTCAGCTGAAAATCGAAATCTCCGACTTTTCTTACCATGATGATGCAGTCTTTGGAAATTGACTTCATTAACATTGTAAATATCATCATTGATCTTGTACAAATTCATATCATTCAATGGATTGTTGATAACAGGTAGATATGTTTGCTTATTCATCCAATTTGAAGGAAAAGTTGCAACTAAATATCTTCCGAGATTAAGATCGAATAATTTCCCTGTTGATTTCTCGAAAGCGCAATTCAAATCTTCGTCGATTAACAATCCCGCAAAACCGAATGGAAAAAATCGTTTTTCTTGATAATTTTTCTCGATTAAACTTCGTCCATATAAACCATAGAATTTCTCTTGCATTAGTAAACCATTATTATCATAGATAAACAACGGTGAACCGATTTGATCTGTTAAAACAAAAAATTTCCGTTGATTTTCCTCGAAACCAATCAAATGATGATTATTATCGTAATAAATCGTCATCAAGGATTTCGTTTGCGACTGATAAATGTGTGTTATCAATTGTCGTTGTTGCTGATTTCCGTAAATGAATTGAATGTAATGACCAGTTAAGGGATAGACTTTCATAACCAAACGTTGTTCATCATCATAAAGATATTCGACGATTAATTGATTGGATTTGTATTTGATTAACAAACCAAATGAATTGAAAAGATAAAGTTTAGTATTTGATATCAGATGTAAAAATCCGTTTTTATCGTATTTATAAGTGAATGTTTGGTTATCTGAGCTAGTTGTTTGGAGAATTTGATTCCATTGGTTATATTGAATCGATGAGTATTGTTTTGTTGAATTGAGATTGTTGTTCAAGTCATATTGATACGTGTCGAGCGATTGACCATTCTTTTTCAGATTAACTAAACGTTTTAGATTATCGTATTCATACGAATAAACATATTTTTCAAGTTCATTCAAGGAAATTTTAACTTGTTCTAATAGAAATTGCTTATTGTTGTAGATGAATTCCACGACTAAACGTTTTTGAGTTTTGTAATTGAATGTGATTTCTTTCAAGCGTTTGTAATCGTCTAAATGTTTGGTGATGGTTAACATGTTCGAATTGTCTTTGATGAAACATTCCGAGTTTGTTGGATATGTCAGTCGTACGAAAGGATTTGATTGTAAATATCCATAATTCTCATGAAAATTCAAAGAATAATTGGATTGAAGGTTCGTCGAGTAGTTCTCCAGGAAACTTCGATGAAATTCTTTAGAAGAAATCAAACGTAATTCAAATGAATTCATCGAATAATATCGAATGAAGACAATCATATAAGAATTCTTATCTTTGTATGAACTGATGAAATGACTTAAGGAAGATTGCGCGTTGTATTCATAGATTTGCTCGTAGACTTGTCCTCGAGGATATTCCATGCGGATCTGCTTGCCGAATTTCGGATATTCATACGATGTTCGACATCCGTCAGCGAATGAATAAACCAATCGATTCATTTCGTCATATTTATAAGTGATCAAACGATGAAATGGGAAATAAACACGACGAAGATTCGAATTCGAGTCATATTCCCAGATTTGAGTGTGTAAACCGGAATATATCAAACGATAACCGTTGAAATACGTTCGATATTCCAACATGTGCTCGGCTTGATTGGGCATTATGATACCTGTGATAGAACCGGTTGTATCTTTACGTAGCATAACATTCGATTGCGAACCGTAAGTGATTCCGACCGGCTAAGACGAACGAACGTATGAAATATTCAAAAGAAAATGAAGTCATACCTGTTCTCCCGATCCGTAACTGTATTTAATCGAAGCGAGATCATTGAATCGTTGAATTTCAATCAATCGTCCGCGTGTGTCATAGAGAAAGTCTTCGTAATATGATCCAACTTGCCAACTAGATAGTTTCTGATCACTGTCTCGGTATGTATAAGTGACCGGAAGAAATCCTCGGGAATTGATGCTCAACAACCGATATTTATCTGAGTATGTCATCGTTAAAAGTTCATTTTGTTTGTAATCTTGAATGATGAGTTTTCTTTCGAATGGATCGAACAACATGATTAGAAGGAGATAATCATTGATCTTAAATGGTAAAAGATGCTCGGTATTGGGTAAATGGAAAGAAAAGAGAGCAATGCGTACTTTTAAATGCCATGAATGACTTTGTTCTTGATCGAATATCAAAGAATTAGAGAATTGAATTGACGAGTTAAATTCAATCGTCTGATAACGATTTGTGATAGTTGAACTTGTCACAAGTTTCAAAGATGGATTTGTCTCGGACGAGACAATAATGGAAGAATTTGAAAGCTCTCGACGAATTAACCGTGGTTTATTATCTAAAATCATTTTCATTTCTCACAAACTTCACTTCTCCTTTGTTTTAAACTTACTTTGCAATTGAATTCGTGTCGATTTGTTGATAAGATATGTAATGTTTCCCTTCGGATTAAGAATATCAATTCGATAGAACGAACAATTGGCAGACGGTATCAATTCATTGAAATAACCATCTTCATGTGTGATCTAAACAAATCAGAATGATTTTTATTCAAAGCCCCATGGAGAAAATCTCTTACTCGTTGAATATGACCAGCTTTATCATAGAGGAAGTAGATTCGTACTAGATTATTTTTTATAATCGACGTCAATAAACCGTTGTCATAAAGAAAATGTGTGATTAATCCGTTATTATCGATGAAACTTGATAGAAATTTTTGTTTGGAGAAGTCGATCTAAATGAAATTTTTGATCAGAACTCTCTCCAAACTTCGATCTAATCAATTACCTTTAGTTTGTTTCCACTCGGCATTTGAATAATATCATTAATTCGCATGGCGTAATCATATCTTAATAACAAACTTTTACCATTGCGATAATTGATTGATTCCAGTTTTCCGTATGCATTTTGAGGAGAATCGTATGTGAAATTGAAAATTGTTTCGCCTAAAACGAGAAAACTAACGATAAACGTTCGAAAGAAAGTGAAAAACCAACCTGTCAATGCATCAATTGTCGATCGATGTTGGCCAACTCGATTGAAAACGTAGACTTCATTCTTATCAGTCGAATGGATATTCATTCCATTGACTTGTTCGTCATCATTTGTTAAGGAAATTGATTTTAATTTAAGTACTTCTTTCGAAGCAACATTGGCAAGAATAATTGAGCCGTCAGGATGATTCACAATCGAGAGAAAGTTCATTTTCATCGAAGTGGATTGGACATTCAATGGTTCTAATTGGTTATTCGATGAGCGTAATATCCGAATGAATGGCCGAGATCTTTCTAGTAGAAACAGATCGCCTTGATAGTTAAATGAGAAATCGATTGGATTGTTTAATCGAAGCGAATAGTCGTTTGTTAAACAATTCAATGATTGACCAAGGAGAATTTCAATCTGATTGAAATTCTTTCGGATACGGTATAGATTTATATCGTCGAGAACGTACAAATCACCATCAAGTGGATGCATATGCAATGTCGTTGGATTATAAAGTTTGAACTAAACAACGAAATGATTCATCTTTTACATTATCTTTGCTTCAACTCACCTGATCGAGCGGATAAGTTCGATCACATGTAAATTGTTTCGAAAAATCAATTTGATATTCGGCAGATCCAACAACATTGGTCACATGACTATTTTCAATACTCAGTTTTCGAATTCGTTGTCCATCGATGAAGTAAATCGTTCCATAACGATCAATTGTGAGACCTTTTGGATATGATAATGAGACATCTTTCGCTAATTGATCATCTCCACATGTTATATTGTGAATTGAATCAAGAGTACAATATTGACCATCGCCAACGACAATTTCATAGTTTTCTCGAAGATTTTCTATTGAATCAGTTTTAATCAAACGAATGATTTGTCGACGATGATAATCAGATATGTACAATCGGCCATCAACTGGATCAGTTGTGAGATAATACTTGTATGTATATTGTTCATTGAGTTCCAGAACTGGTTTGACAAGATTCGTCATTGGTTGATACATCCAAATGATGTTTAGATCACCGATATAAATAATACCATCATTACTAACAGTTAAACTTGTTGGATTGAGTAGTCGGGTTAGAATTGCTTGGTTTTCATGGCATTTATGACAATCAATCGGCCGTGATTGATCGCGCATACCAATCAAAGTGGAAAATTGTAGAGGAGAATCAGTTAGGAACATCGTTGTACCATCACCTTTATGAAGGATACCTAAACAACAAAAGTGCACATGGATAAACAAAAACAAGTTCACAAGAAAGAACATACCAGCTTGGATATTTAATTTATGATGAACATCAAATGTCCATCCACCAACATTAGCTGTTGGAATATCTTGTCCAGTGAGTTTCACAGACTTTCGATACCAAACAATTTGATTGCAATTCATGTATTCGTACCCGATTGAAACTATTCATAGCAATACTTTGAGATCAGCATGATACGACTTTCGAAAACTTACCAATCGCTTCCGCTAGTCCATGAACATTTTGATCATACGCGTTTCTTCTTGACCATTCGTATTCATAAATCAAATTCGTTTGCGCATTGAACTTTTTCAGAAAATAAATTCCCTCAATACTAATACTCAAATGTATATAAAGCAATGAATCGTCAATTTGCTTATCGGACAAGACCACAGTTAGAATCGACTGATAACGTCGAGTACTTGATGAACTTAAGTACATCAATTGGATGGGTAAATCATTTTTGTCGATGGAAATCGATTGTCGAATGATTTGAGAGCCCAATGTATATGCATAATCATATTGATGATTTGGAAGGAAACTTCGATCAAGACTTGTGTCCCACAATTTTGGTTGGAGATTTTCTGAAGTGTTTGTTTGACAAATCGTATTGTCTTGAATTTCATCCATGTAAATGTAGCCAATATGAAGAAAAGTATTCCAAGGAACGATAAATGCGTATTGTTTGCTTTGAAACGGCTGTCGGATGAATTGGATGAGAATTGAACCACCGCCATTGATAAGTAAATTGAAACTAAATGAAAATAAATGAGTTCGCTCAAGAGTAAAACAGAAAGTTCGAGTCAATTTACAATCCATCTTTGTCAGATATTGTATAGCCTTGATTTGGATTGTTAAAAACTTGGACTTTGACACCGTTCAATGGTAGGGTTTTTTTATAAAATATCTGACCACGTATAACCGATGCACGTCTAGAAAGAAGAAGCAAACAAATCAGTAAGAAATACGTGTCAACTTCAATTTGGGATATCGAGACAAGACAAGACTTAGACATTAAAATCACCTCTTATTGAAAGCAGATACTCTGAAAGTTTTTGTAAATGAGAAGAAAAAGAAAATATTCGCTAATGAAGATTGCTTCATACCTTTCGTTGAATGATGAATAAATCGCTGATGTTTGGAGTCCATCTTCTTGAATTAAGAATTGCATGCGTTCGAAAAATGAAGCGGAAGGACTAGGTGCTTGACGACGAAGTAATCTATTTAAAAAACATCACTCTCGATTTTACTCCATTCGTTCGAATATGTCATACATGTCTTTGGCATTCGTTCGTGAAATGCATTCTTCAATCGATTGACAGACACTCGATGAACAACAATCCGGATCCAGACAATCAATGAGACCATCTAAATAACTCAATGACAGTTATGCTTATCGACATATGTTAATTATTCGAAATCCATCTGTTTCTGGTTAGGAAGAGATAACATGATTGAATCCTTCGCATGAATCGACTCACCATTATCATTATCAATTTGATCGTTACAATTAGTTTCAATTGTGAATTGACATTCCGGTCCGAACCAATTCGAATGACAAACACATTTATTCAGTTGACAATCGCCATGTCCATTGCAATTATTTGGACAAGCGGCTAAATAGATCAATTTCTCATTAATAAATTCATTTTAAACTGTAACTTACGAATCTGACAATATCGACCGAGAAATCCGTTTTCACATCGACAACTTCCATCATCATTACATTGTTGACAGAACTTCGAACACGTTTTCTTCATGCAAGTAGTTCCTGTCCATCCTTCTTCGCATTCGCATCGATTTCGATTATTAACCAAACATTTGCCATGCTCGCCGCAATCGATTTTACATTTCGCTAGAAAATCAACTTTTTCTTCTCTATAGAAGACGATCGCCATCACTTACGTTGAGAACAATTCTCTCCTGTCCAATTTTCATCACATAAACACATCGATTTCGGATAATCGACATATTGTCCATGTCCTGAGCATTGATTATCACATTGGGTTTGAATAACTGATGAACAATCATCATTTGTATAACCATGAAAGCAACGACATTTGCCTTCGATACACATTCCATGATTACTACAATTGGCATTTCCGCATGAAACTATATCAAAGCAGACAAGTTAGACAAATAGGAATCTCTCAAAGCTAATCAGTACTTTGTTCACAAAATTTGCCTTGATAACCATTTTGACAGATACATTTTCCAGCAATACATGTTCCTCGATTGTTACAATTAGCTATTTCGCATTGATTTAACATCAATTGGCATTCAGTACCATGCCATCCTTCTTGACAACGACATTGTCCATGCTCAACGACACCATGTCCACTACACAAATCCGTACATTGAGCTAGAAGAGAACAAACGAGCTATATTCATTCGTTCAGTGAGTGTTTCCTTCGTCTTACCGATGGAACAATCGGTTCCTGTATATGATGGATGACAGATACAAACTCCTTGTTGACAAATACCATGATTGTTGCAATTATTCAAACACAAACGTTCATTTTTTCCATCAATTGGTTCAATAATCAATTGAAATTCTTGTCTGGTTAAACCATCATTAATAACAGTGACATACCACAATCCTGTGGTTAATAATTCATTGAAGAGAATGGTTAATTGTTCATTATCAGAATTCGTAAAGTAAATTTGGGACGTTCGATTTAGTCCTAAACTTCGACGAACGAGATGATGCTGCTGAGTATTTCCATTAAATGGATGAAAGAAATCGAATTGTGTTAAACTTGGAGAGCTCGATCGTTTACCATAAAAACCTAGAAGAACAGAAGTATTGGAAAACAGAGATGACATTGAGTAGAAAGATTTCATACCAAAATTAGCTTCGCGGTCTGCTGTGAAGTTGAATTGTATGGATATTGTTCGTTCAATATAAAACTGTAATTGTGTACTTGATTGTGGATCAATAAGTTCTTTGATTTTATCACCAATACGAATAAAACGTGTTGTTTTACCTAAATAAATTCTGCTCTTTATTTCTACCTTAAAAAACAGTTTCGCTACAAACCATAGAATAGATTCTGTTGTCGAGATTTTCCCTGAATTAAAGTATTCTCTCGAAAGGTTGGATGATGGTATCGCATGATTGACAAATAAATAGTCGATGTGAGGAAACACAGCGTTGTGAGAAGGAAGATGATAGCAATCGTTTTCCATGAGAACAGATGATGATGAAAGTAACTATCATCACTTGGGCGTTTTTTCGATCGGCAGATGGAATTATTAAATAATGGGCAAGGCGAATGAGTCGACTGCCGTGTCGTCGTTGTTGCTTGCTCATTATAGGTAGTTGTCGAATCACAATTGCAACGCATGTGTGAATGAGAATGGTGGTGGTGATGATCCAATGGGTAAACATAACAGTTATTTCGAAAGCTACATAAGAAACAAAAGGAATTAGATCTTATCCTTGTTATGTCAATACAGTATTTAAATTGCTAATCAAATCAAATCAAGTAATGAGATTATTCGCGATTCAGGAGAGAAATTCCGACATTTTCCGATTGTTCACTAAATGATCAGTCATCCGAGTGTGACTTACTTCTCAAGCAAATACATCAAACAAAAGAACTAATTCGATTCTTGTTGACAATTGCACCCTACTACACTCATTCATTCATTCATTCGTTCACTCACTCACGCATCTTGCCATTAAGGCGAAGACTAGTAGCTATTACGCAAGATTACTCTATTTGATATATTTATATAGCTGTATGTGGAAAAGAATGAAGAGGATCTAATTTGCATTGTGCAAACAAGAACTATGAGACATATACATACCAAGGCAATAATGGTGTATCAGGAAAGATCTCATTCTTATTATCGTTTGAATGAATAACATATTCACGATGACTAGAAAGACAAAAAAGAAAGAAGATTGATATTAATACAGACATTCAAGTTGATTAGTCCTAAGGGAAGACATAACAATGATTATTGAAAGGTCTATACATGAACTTTTTTTTCATACATCGGCTTTCCTTCTCTCTTTGCTACACGCCTAGACGCAGGTGAAAGTATTTGTCTTTTGTACATTAACCGCACTTTATCAATCGACCAACTACATACAGTCAAGTGGCTAACCGGCTAAGCTAATGAACATAAGCCATACTCATGCCGGATGTACTACTAAAAGCTCTCTTCATCTTCTTTCTTCTCTTTATGTATACGTATGTGTCTCACTGTTTGATGATAATAAGCATAAATAACCTGTACAGTACTGTCTATATTTGTTCGAATAATGAAGATCAAACATACTTATTGAAAAAAATACTGAGGAAAAGAAAAGTAACGAACAAACCTGTCGGCATCAATTGTCTGGTAGACATTTGATGAATTCGAATTGGGTCGATCCATCGTCGACATTGTTGTTAGTTGAGTAGAGTTCGGACATGAGTAGGCAGATGAGTGAAGCGGAAGTGTTCCATTACTCATATGACTACCATTGCGATCAATATTCGAAGAAGACATTAATGTTCCTAAGGAAAAATATAAATACATTAACTAAAAGAAAAGTATATCGTTGATGATATTGTGGCATTTAATGTAAAATAATGAACAAACGAGATAGACTAAACAAATTTCTTCTGTTTCATAATAACCTGCTGAACACTGAGTATAAGAAATACCAAGCATCGAACTGATATATATTTGTATATGTATATATTATATGATGTGTTTTATTATTATTATCATCGTCATCATGCATCTCAATATAGTTGAACGTATCGTGTGACAGTAGATAAATGAGATGCAATACTATTTAGCAAGCTTTCGTAATCTCATAATGCAAATTCCCATAGTTCTTTACACGTGTACGTGTATATAGATCTATACGACTCCATAAGTTCATCATTAACATCATCAAACAGTGAATACAATGATGACAAAATGAAGGTCATTGATTAGAATAACTATTCGATATCTATAGTTGCGAACTGACCTGAAATCAATACACGTCTTACATTGATCAGTATGCCGAATGAAAATCGAAGAGCGATAAGTCTGTTTCTTCTTCTTTTATTCATCATCATCATCATCGTCATCGGCTTCTCTCTCTTCTCTTCTCTTCCCCCTTCTCTCTAGTGTGTTCATCAGACTGTACGCAAATTCAATCGACACTCTATACATACATACACACACACGCACAACTATCTGATAAGGGCTGCAACTAATCGATCTCTGCTGCAATGATATCTCACTGAATGCGTGCATGATTCTCTCTTTTCTCTTTTCATTCCTTTTCTCTGTTTCGTCGTCGGTTGATTGCAATAGTGATCTGAATGCCGTGTCGAAGACAATTATAACAAGGGTTTGTCACTGCCGCTGGTTAGGAGAACACCAAATCGAACCCGATGTGTTCGATCATGAGAAAGAAAAAGAAAGAAGAAAAAAAGAGTAAAACTCAGGGTCATACATGATTTCCGCCAATAGCTAAAACTCGACAATTGCAGAATGTACGCAAATGCACAATCAAAAGACCGTTTAAATAGAGAGGTCAGCAAATGCACAATCAAGTCGTAATAGAGCGTATTTCCCCTTCTAGTCTTGCATATGCATACATCCGGATCAATCCTAGTCGCATATATTATCCTTAAAACAATTCACGAAGACAACTTGGAGTTAATGATTGATTCTCGTCAGTCGACTGTACCTTGTGAATGAGGTATCAAAAGTGCATTGCCTGTTTGTGTTTGAATCATAAAAGCTGTACAAGATGTTGATGATGAAGGCAATGGTGGAGGGACAGGTGGAGCAAGAGCGTGGGAACTTGATGAATCGAAACCACTGTCAGCCATATAAGAATTAGTTGTTGTCGAAATATTATCACCACATAAAAGGATTGAATTACGTGTTGTAGTTCTTATTTGACTAAGTAGTGTTGTATGATCAACAGGAATCATAGGCGGATGAGTTGAGGGTGGCAAAGGCGGTACGGGTGGTGGTGCTATTTGTGATGGTTTAAGTAATGGTGATAAAACAGTTGAATCCATAGCAGAATGACTTTCTGAAATAGAAAAAAAAACAGATTTCTGTATACGAATGTGCATATGTAATCATTATTGTAATAGAGAAGTAAATCTTTTCACAAGATAATGTTAGTCGGCTGTCCCTCTTGCAGTCTGACGATCAAACGCTGACTGGACACCAAACTCTTAACCTTTTCCTCTCGTTCAACATGTCCACGTCAATAGTCACTTCATACAAATAGCTAGGAGCATTTTATTCAATTTCAAAAGAGGAAAGAAAACTACCAATATTTGATTAATCATTCATCGAAATAAACTTACATGTGGTGAAAAAATCTTATGTTGCGTGTATTAAACTCCACATTGTTCTGATTGCTTACTAGTACCACTTGCATGTCATTTAGGGTTCATTATGATTTCTTTCTGTGTTTCTCTATACGTTCAACGATAAAAAAAATGAGGAAAGGCGAGAAATATAAACTTCTCTATATAATGGGTAAGTGCTGAATAGAAAGGTGTCGACCACAACTACTTTCTTTTTGATCGTTTCCTTGTCTTCTTTCTCTCTGTCTCTGTCTCGACTTATTCTTTGTAACACTTTTTCGCTCGCTCTCTCTCTCTCTCCCTTTCTCTCGTTCTCCTTCTTTTGCTCTCTCCTTCATTCTTGCTCGTTACGCTTAAACGACAAGCATTTATAGTAGAACATACGCAAAGCGATAGTAAAAGAAGAAGAAGAAGAAGAAGAAGTCACTTCAGACTCTTTTCTGAATGAGATGTGTATCTATTTTGAGGTTTCAATGTAGAATAAAACTGAAGACAAGACAAGCAAAGCATGATAACACTTCTGTCTCTTATTACTCAAACTGTCTACTGTCGACATAGTGGTTTATATGTGTATATGTGTGTCTATGTCCTTTTTGATTAAATTTGATGACACATTGAATGAGAAAGATGCAATTAATTTGAAACGATCATCAATAATGTGTATATGTATGTGTAACAGTTTGTCGCCCATTGTACGTCGTCATCATCTTCTTGACCTGCATTGCTACGGGTTAGTTATTGTGACTGTACGAATGAAAGGACAATACACAATGGACAATACAATATAACAAGTGCTTC